TATGCAGAGGGTGGAGGCGGGTGTGGGTTTCAGGGCGCTGCCCAGAGGGGTGGGAGAAACCCCTTTCCCGTCCAAGCCATGTCCCCGCCCTTGGGGCTCCTTCCCCTGCCCCATGCCAGGTGCTGACCAGCAGGAGGATGTTTATGGAGACAGTGAATGGGCCTCCAGCGCCTTCCAAACAGGGGCCGGCAGATGCCTGCCAGCCAGCCTGCTGCCGTGGGCCGACCCATGGTTAAAGATTAGCCAGCGCTCTGGATGTGAGAAACTGAACAAACAGACTCTCGGGCTGATGGCAGGCCCTGTTTCAAAGGAACCCCTTACCTGCCCCTGAGGGCTCCAGCACCAGTGCCCAGGCCCTGCCTTGGTCGCCTTGCACTGGCTGGCAACATGTGGGCCCAGTGGGTCCCTGGCCAGAGCTGGCCCCGGTGCCCTCAGTCTGGCCCCTCCTCTCCTCTCCCTTCCTTTCTCCCCACTGGCCTCAGATTGTCCCGGGCATTTGCTAGTGCACTTTTCCCACTGAGTGCCTCTCACTTCTGTCTGTCAGTTCGAACTCTCTTGTCTTTCAGGGCCCAGGTCAAATCTTGTTTCTTCCAAGAGCCTGTGTCCGACTCACTGTGAAACAGGAAGGGGACCTCAGCCTTGGTTGGAGAGCATTATCCTAAAGGGAGTATTTATCCTATAGAAGAGAAGGCTCAGAGGGGGCGCCACGGAGCGGATGTGGGATACCTCTGGATCTGTGCCTGGACAGCTTTTCTAACCATTACAGTTGTTCAGAGATAGGGGGGGACAGATAGCCTTGGGCTGTGGTGAGCTTCTTGTCCCCGGGAGCATTCTAGGCAAGGCTGGGTGAGAACTTGGCAGAGAGAGATGGATTTCCTCTGGAGACACTAAGAATTTTGTAGGGAAATTATATTCAAATATTTTCATGCCTCCAAGCTTTAATCCCCCCACAGCCGACTGGCTCCTTGGGGCCCAGGTGCTGGCTTTTCTCTTTAACCACTGCCTAGGCCTGGGCACACAGCGCGTCAGTGAATGGGTGACCCGAGTGCCACCTTGAGGGGAGGAAATCCCTGCCCTGGCCTTACTGCCCTTGTGGGGCCTGGTTATGTCTGCCCTGGTGCAAAAGATCTGTGGGCTCCCCCCCCCCGACCAGGAGCTGAAGACTGACAAAGTCCTTCCCGAAAGAGGGGACACTGAGAGGGGAGCCAGCCGAGCAGTGTCCCCTGTGGCCTTGTGCCACTCCCTGCTCCGGGCACGGCATAAACCCCTCCAGAATGGGCAGCCCTGTGTCCCCGGCCCGGATGGTAGGACTTGTTGCTTCCAAACAGGCCACCCCACTGCTTGGGGTGACAGGTTGCCCTCTGTCCTTTCTCCAAGCTGTGACCCTGGGCTGAGGTTGGCCTCCAGGCTCTCTCTGTGGCTTTGGGGGCCTGACCCTTCCCTGGCTTTCCGTTAGCTCTGACCTCTGCTGACCCTTCTGCGGAGGGCGCCCTGCCCAGCTCCTCCGTCTCCAGTGTCACCTATTTCAGGACCCGGCACAGCTGGGTGCACTGAGGGGGTGGTTATTTTGGAGCTTGCTGGCAGCCTGCAGCTGCTCCTGACCCCGAGGGGGCGGCCTGGCTGGGAGAGAAGACATACTTGGGCTGGGCACTGGCCCCGGGGATTCCATTTTTAGCTGTTTCCCAGCATCTCCTGTACCTTTTCTCTCGACTCCTCCAAGATTTCAAGCAAAGCCAAAGGGGTCATTTTCCTGCCCCGCCTCCTCTCTCCCCACCCCCTGCTATTTCTCTTTCCTTCTCTTCTTTCTCCTCTAATCTCCGCTTTGTAGCTTCTCCTTCCTGGTCCTCCGTCAGGGATGCCATTCATGACGGATGTGAAGTCCTACACAGGTGCAGAACGTTCATTGCCTGGTGCAGGGGGACCTGACTTCAGTTGACAAACAACCCGAGTAAGCACTGGTACCTGAAGTTATCAAGTACCTAGGTCCCAGGGGCCCCCCACCCTGTCTCTGACCCCCACGTCACCATCACAGCACAGTTGTGATTACCCCCATTCTCTAGCTGAGTAACCTGAGGCTGGGAGGAAAGTTGATTCAAGTGCTAGCTTGGACATTTAAACCCAGGCCTGTATCACCACAGAGCCCATGCACTTTCTTCTGAGCCCCGGGGCATGTAAACAATAACAGTGGGTCATATTAACCTTGTGATTATTACGGGCCAGGTACTCCTCTCCAGGTGCCCTCTGTAGCTTATTACATTTGGACTTCACAGCATCCCTTCTGAGCGGAGTATTAGAATACAGATTTTATGCACCTCAGTAAATGCTGATTTCATGGCTGAAGAAGAGAGGCCCAGAGAGGTTAAGCTATTTATCTAAGGTGATATGGCCAGGAAATGGTGCAGCCAGCATTTCAACCCAGGCTGATGACTTCAAAATCCTTACATTTAACTATGCTTCTGTCCTGCCTACCAGTATATGGATTTGGGTTACTAAAAAACCCCAAATACCCTTAGGTTACATTATGAGAAGTAGAGTGTAAATATCAAGGGAGGTGGTGGCCACACTGTGCCTTGAGCTGGTTAGGGAACATCTGGAGTACTGAGTCTGGTTCTGTTTATTGTCCAGGAGGTGGGAAGGTGTGTGGTGGGTCTGAGTATAGGGGAGTTGTTTTCTCCACGGGGCTGCCCCAGAGGTAGTACTGGCACAGAAGGACATTGAAGCTGAGAAGTTAAGTAAATCTATCCAAGATATCCTTGGATACAGGGAGGTAGATTTCAGTCTAAGAGAAGGAACCACTTTCTTAGAGGAGCTCGGCAGTGGCTCGGGTTGCCTGGGAGGCCCAGTAGTGGGCATATTCAAGTACAGAAGACCCCTGAAGGGACAGAGCTCAGGGGAGCGCACATCCAGCCCCATTCAGAAGTCTGTGCTGATGGTCTGCCCACTCCATGGGCCCTGGGCTGATTGTCCTGAGTGTGTGTGGGGTGGGGAGAGGAGTGGGGGGGTACATATGTGTGCGAGCCGTGTGACGGGCTTCTTCTTGTAGGCTCTGGCTGGGCATCTCTGAACCTTTTGTTTTCTAGTCACCCTGCTGTCACTGCCCCTTCCTCTCCATCGCCAACCCTCGAGTCCTCTAGGGCCAGTGCCTGCAATCCCTGAGGGGTGGAGAGCAGGGGGCTGTTCCTTGGGGGCCCCGGTCAGCCCATAGCCTCTCCCAGGTCCCCATGACTGTCTCTCAGGCCTCCTCCTCCTGTTTGGGCCTCCTTGCCTCTGCCTCTCTGCAGCCCCCAGCCTCTCTGCACCATCACTCTCACAGAGTCAATTCCCTGGAATAATTGCATTTTCCAGTTGGCTCCCTTCTTCTTGCCAAGCACGATGCTGGGAAATCCCAACCAGCCAGGCCCCAAGAGGCTTCTCCAGAGAGGGCACGGGGTTTGGGGGAAGGGCCCAGCACCCTCTCCTTGCCAGGACCCAAACAACACTGTTCCTGGAAGGGGCAGGGAGAGAACAAAAACAAGGAGGCTTTAGAGACTGTCTCTAGATTCAGCTGGAGCTGAGTTCTGGCTTCAGCTGCCCGTATCAGTCCAGTCCTCCAAGCTTTGCTTCCACATCAAGCACCGTAGCTATCCTTACCCAGGTCCTGGAGGGAAAGCAGATTCTCCCTTGGGGAGGCTCAGAGAAAAGACTCCCAGGGAGGGATTGGCTCATGATGTGGTCTACAGTGGCACTAGCCAAATTTGGGGACTGTAACTCCCACAGAGGGGAGTTAAATAATAAATAAGGAGGGCCTGAAAGCGAAGAATGTGGTGTCAGGAGTTGGATATACCTTGCTTCCATCGCGGATCTGCCACTTGGTGGCTGTCACATCACGTCTCTCAGCTTTAGCTCTATAATGGGAACACTTCCATGGGATGTTTTAAGGATGAGATGCAGGGGTAATTCATCATGCATGATGACTTTTATTATAAATGATAGGACTCCATAAAGCAGGGACATAACACAGCCATTAAAAAAATATGGTGTTGGAAACCTGGTTATTGGCATGAAAAGGTGCTCAGGACATATTGGAAAAGCTAGCTTTGAAAAGGAAATCTGTGTAGCAGGGTTCTTAGCCTGGAGTCCATGCCCATGGATGGCTTTATGGGATTCACAGGTGTCCTGAAATTATCCACAGAATTTAGGAAGAATAGGTGTTTTTCTGAGGACATAGGTCAAGGTTATCACATTTTCAAAGGGATTTGTTACCCATAAAAGGTTAAAAACTACTGGAGTTTACATAGCATGATTCGGTTTTTGTATTAGAAAAAGTAACTGAGGAATATATTGGGGAAAAAAGCTGGAAGGTCCTCACCCAAGTATTAAGAATATTTTTCTCCAGATGGTGGGCCCAGAGGTGATGATTATTATTTTTTTTGCTGAACGGTCTTTTCTACAAAATAGTCTTACTTGTATGATTAAGAAGAGAAAGGGGTTGATTTCCAGTTAAGTCACTTTCAAAAGAAAATCCTGGATAAATTTAAGTTCTTTCAGCCTCAGTGTCCTTCCGTGGCAATGATAACTCGAGAGGTAATTGTGAGGATGAGACCATTTATGCAAAGAGTTCTTCTGGGGAAGGGGGTTCCCTCTGACCCTCCCAGCGGGGTAGAATGTCCACAGTGCTTTCAACAAATATTTACTGCTGTCGACTCAAGTGCTCGGGGATCAAAAGGGAGTTAAGTTAATAATAATAATAATAAAACTTTTATAAGCGTGCCATGTAGAAGGAATGTTTTTAATTTTGGTGCCCGTCCTTCCAGCCTTGATCCTTTGCTTAAACAAACAGATGTCCTGCGTACTTTGTTTCCCGACCCTGCCCCTGAGCCTCCGTCCTAAGCCTCTTCCATGCTGTTCACGATGCCGTCGGTATTTCAGGGTGCAGACTGGAAAGGCGGGCGGGAGGAAGCGCGCTGGCCCAGCGGGGCCCGTGTGACGGTCGCCCTGTCTCTCCCCCTCCCTGGCCGCAGACAGCGAGCTGGTGCTCCCGGACTGCCTGCGGCCGCGCTCCTTCACCGCCCTGCGGCGGCCGTCATTGCGGCGCGACGCCGACGAGGCGCGCCTCTCCGTGAGCCTGTGCGACCTCAACGTGCCGGGCGCCGACGGCGACGACGCCGCGCCGGCCGCCGGCTGCCCCATCCCGCAGAACTCGCTCAACTCGCAGCACAGCCGCGCGCTGCCCGCGCAGCTCGACGGCGACCTGCGCTTCCACGCGCTGCGCGCCGGGGCGCACGTGCGGATCCTGGACGAGCAGACCGTGGCGCGCCTGGAGCACGGGCGCGACGAGCGCGCGCTCGTCTTCACCAGCCGGCCCGTGCGCGTGGCCGAGACCATCTTCGTGAAGGTCACGCGTTCGGGCAGCGCGCGGCCCGGCGCGCTCTCCTTCGGCGTCACCACGTGCGACCCCGGCACGCTGCGGCCCGCGGACCTGCCCTTCAGCCCCGAGGCCCTGGTGGACCGCAAGGAGTTCTGGGCCGTGTGCCGCGTGCCCGGGCCCCTGCACAGCGGCGACATCCTGGGCCTGGTGGTCAACGCCGACGGCGAGCTGCACCTCAGCCACAACGGCGCCGCGGCGGGCATGCAGCTGTGCGTGGACGCCACGCAGCCGCTCTGGATGCTCTTCGGCCTGCACGGAGCCGTCACGCAGATCCGCATCCTCGGTGAGTGCCTCCCCCGAGCGCCCCTCCCACAACCCCAGCACCGTGCCTTTTCTGGCGGCGAGGGCCCGTCCCGGGAAATCGGGGAAAGGAAAGAGGGCGAGTGCGCCCCGCCCCACTGCTTCGCGCGGGTCTTGCCACCGAGTCACAGGCGCCGAAATGAGTTGTGGGCCGGACTCCATGGGCTAGGCCTTGCCTCCAGTCTCCCCAGACGCATCCCGGGGGCGGGCAGAAAAGTGCGGATCACCGAGTTTCGCTCCCAGAATCTGATTAACCCACGTCCCCACAGATGCATAAACAGCCCAGTGGCCACTTAAAAATGAGAAAAAAGGTTTCCACCAGCAATTAACTTTCTGAGGCTCAGTTTCCATTTCTCCAAAATGGGAATTAAAAGTCTCTGCCTCTTACGGATGGCTGTGTGTCTGGATAAGGAAAAGAGTCTGGTATGTCCGTAGCCAGGTTTTTGTGCAGTGTGGTGCCTGGGTTGGGAGCCTATGGGGAATCTCTGAGCAGAGGGCCTTGAGGAAATGGGGTTGCAGAGGTCTGGGCCTTTCTTTCCTGGGTTTGAATGGACTGGTGGATGTGGACTTGTGAAAGTTACGTTTCTCAGAGTATTCTGTGAGGAAAAGTGGGGGATTCTTTACTGCAGAACTTCTCAGACCCTTTAATACGCAATGTGAATCTTTAAGGAGGGGGGTGGACGTGGTTATGATGTACAGCTTCTTCTAAACTAATTTGACCAGAAATCTTTTTTTCACAAAGCATCTCCAGGGACCTCTGTTTCCCCAGAGTGCACAAGTTTCATACTTTGTAAGAGCTGGCCTTCTAAGCAGGTGCAGTAGACTGGGCTAATTCCATTAGAGTCATTAGGAGGACCTGGTACAGATTTTTGAATCCCACCTGCAGAGATTTTGATCCTGTAGATGTTGGATACGTCCTGGGCATCTGATTTTCTTTTTTTTTTTTAAGATTTTATTTTTAGAGAGAAGAGAGGGGTAGAGAGAATCCCAAGCAGGTTCCTGATGCGGGGCTTGATCTCACTCACGACTCTGAGATTATGACCTGAGCTGAAATCAAGAGTCAGTGGTGTAACCCACTGAGCCACCCAGGCACCCGTCTGAAATCTTTATTTAAGCAGGTTTGCTTAGACAAGTGTGGAGACCTCTGGGCTTCACAGCCCTATCCTAGACCTCACCCCAGGAGACTTTGTAGACAGGGTAATGTGTGTATGTAAGTGAATGTGTGTTATGCACTGAGATGGGTATGTCTGTGTATAGGCACACGTGAGTAACTAAATGCATGCATATTTGTGTGTATAATGCTGTTGGTGATTGTGTGTTAGAGTTTGTGAAAGCTGATAAAATAAGTGGGGACTTCCTACTCTGGAAAGAGACCAAATGAAGACGGAGTGAAAAAAAAATCTGAAAAGAAATGAGGCAAGATGCTAAGAAGTTATGATTGAGGGAAGATACATTAGGAGGGAATGAAAAGAAATCAGGAAGGAAAGAAGTTGGGGTGAAAATTCAGGATGGGATAAAAAGAAATCAGACTGGGGTGCAGAAAAAACTCAGGCTGAGGTTAAAAAAAAAAAAATACTTGGCTACACTCACTGGGAGACACTGCTTCTCAGATGAAGGAAGTTGTATAAGGGGAGGGTACTATCCTGCCTCAGCACCATCTAATAATAGATAAGTAGCTTTCCACTGAGACTTCTGTTCCCCAGAGAAGCTTACTAGACACACGGGAAGCTTAAAAAAAAAATCAGGACTTAAATGTAAGTGGGCCGAGGTGGGTGTTTAAGAATAATCATCCACATATATGCCAAACACAGTGCACCTGGGCTGTGGGAGAACTGGGCATCTCAGTCAGCAAATTGGTGTTTGGGAATCCTGATGGACTGCAAAGGAAAAACAAACCAGTGACAGTGTGTGAGGGGTAATTATTTACCTTACAGAGGAGTGCTGTGCTTCGTGAAAGGCCTAAATGAACTAGGAATGGAAGGATATTTCCTTTACTCCAAAACTATCGCTAGTTTCATACTTAACGAGAAAACATGAGAAACATTCTCATTAAAGTCAGGAATATGATAGGGGGATGCCTTAAGTATTGTTCTGAAAATACTAGCCAGTGCAATAAGGCAAGAAAACGAAATAGGTGTGAATTTCTGAAAGAAGATGCTAATTAACTTGAAAACTATTAACACCAGAGAAACCCTGTGGATATCTAATGCATATTCGTAGAAACAGTGACTACTGATTGACTTAGAACACCTGATGATAAAAGGATTTCCCTGAGCATTTATGTGTAGGGCAGTATGTTAGAGCCTGTGGGAGAGTCACAGGTGAATACCATTTCCTGCTCTCAGGAAGCTCATAGTTCACCTGGGAAAGCAAAGCTGCATACCTGGGCAAAGAACAAATAATACCCCAGCTCTGTCGTTTAGGCCCGTGTATGTGGTGTGTGTGTCCAGTCAGTGCTAAATAAAGTAATGTGGTTTGTGGGGGTGGTCAACGCTGCCCAGAGGAGGGGGTTTGAGGACAGCCCCAAGGGGCTCCCTGGACAGTTAGCTCTTTGGGGGCAAGGGCTCTGTCGGTCTTGTTCTCAGTGTTATGTTTACACAGTGGATGGTACCTGGTAGGTACCTGGTACTTTGTTGAAGGGAGGAGCAAGGAGGGGAGGAAGAAAAGAGGAAGGTGAGGAGAGGAGTGGAAGAGGGAGAGAAGAGAGGGAGGGAAGGAAGGAGGGAGAGAGTGTAGCACAGAGTGAGCCTGGGAGATGCTGAAGGGCCTCTGAAAGGTGCCATTGCAGAGGAGATGGTGGGTGGTATCTGGGGGCAGTGACAGAGAGAGCACAGGGCTTGGAACAGGAGGGCCGCGCTGGGTGAGGATGCATAGGAAGGGTGGAGGTGGGATTCTAGGCAGAGGGCTTGTTTGGAGACTGCTGATGTAGGAACAGCAGAGCAGGAAGTGGCCCTCCCGTTTGTAGGTGGAAACAGCGGGGGCAGGGCGCTGGGCCACCCGTGGAATCCTGCCCTGAGCCCGCCCAGTGGCTGGGCTGTCTGGTCGTGCTGTGTCAGCACTTTCCTGGGAGCCTCTAGGAGGAGCGGAGACTTGAGCTTCCTCCCAGTAGGCCTCTCAGTGGCTAGTGCATCGCTCCCTCCCCTCCCGCAGGCTCCACCATCCTGGCAGAGCGGGGCATCCCGTCACTCTCCTGCTCCCCTGCCTCCACGCCAACCTCGCCCAGTGCCCTGGGCAGCCGCCTCTCTGACCCCCTGCTCAGCACGTGCAGCTCCGGACCTCTGGGGAGCTCTGCTGGTGGTAAGTAGGCTGGCCGCTCGCGTTCCACGGTGTCCGTGGCGGCCTCCCCACCCCAACACCCCCTGGCTGAGGCGGCCGTGCAGCCTCCAGGTCAGAGTTGGGCGCTGGGGGACCTGGAGGCAGGCTCAGTGAACCCTTGTTGCGTGGTGATTTCCGGGGTGAATCCCACCCTGTCCCCCAGCTAGGCACCTTTCTCCAGAGCACTTTTTAGCACACAGGGAAGACCAAAGGATAGCTCAGAAGAGGCCTTCCTTAAAAGACTCTGGACTCTGGGCCCCCTCCCTTCCTCCACCCCTCTTCTCTCACTGCCTCATGGGCACCCTGGCCCCTCATCGAGTGCCTCCTAGGGCCCAGGAAGTGGGTCGTCAAGGGAAACAGGCAGACCCCAGTCAGTGGAGTGAGAGACCAGAGGGCTTTCTTCCCATGACCCTGGGGCCAGCCTGGGCCATGTCTCTGCTGACTGGTGTCCCCTTGTCCCCAGGGACGGCCCCTAACTCCCCAGTGAGCCTGCCTGAGTCGCCGGTGGCCCCAGGCACAGGACAGTGGAGCGATGAGTGCACCATTTGCTATGAGCACGCAGTGGACACGGTCATCTACACGTGTGGTCACATGTGCCTCTGCTATGGCTGTGGCCTGCGCCTCAAGAAGGCTCTGCACGCCTGCTGCCCCATCTGCCGCCGCCCCATCAAGGACATTATCAAGACCTACCGCAGCTCCTAGCCTGTGGCGCCCCACCCTGCATGCCTGCCTCCTCAGGCTTGGGCCCCACTCCAGCCGAGGGGCAAGCCCACAGGGCCCCTTCTCTTCTTCCTCATTTTGGAAACTCTTTTCCCTTCTTCATTAAACACGGGAAACTGAGGCCCTCGAAGGTTTGGGAAGAAAGGGAGTATAAGGCAGGGAGGTGAGGGGCAGAAACAAATTGCCCAGCAGAGGCGGGGGAGGAGTCCGCTCCCTTGCTGTCTTTCCCTTCTCTGCACCCACTCTACCCTGCATGCCGAGGGGCTAAACGGGGGTCTCAGCCTATCCTAATCCTTCCCCATCTGGGGCAGATTGCTAGGCAGTCCTCTAGTTCATGTAAGAATTAGAAAACATGTCCCTTCCTCTGGGCAGATGTGTCCCTGAGCTCGGGCCTTCGGAGTATGGCTTGGACTTCAGTCTCCATTTGTTCTCTCAGCCAGCTATCCGGGAGCAGTGTACAACCTGCTCGACAGCAGCCCTAGGCAGGTAGCCCCTGAGCTGCTGCCTTACTCTCTGACCTGTACCCACCTTCTCCTTCCTCTCTTCCCTGCCCCTCAGGCCTGGCAGCCAGGGGTAAGGCTGGTGGATACCTCTCACCCTGGGCAAGCGGCAGCCCCCATGCCTTGTCCCTCTCCCACTAACCCAGGACGCGTGGATGGACAGGCCACAGAAGGCTGCAAGTTCTGGGTCTCTGACCCTGTGCCCTGGCTGAGATGCAGAGGGCCCCTTCCTGGCCATAGCCTTTCTTCCCCAGTCATCTCGCTAGATGCTGCTGCCAGGGACAGCCTCGGTGCGGGCTGGAGAGCAGCGTCCGTCCTCTGGAAGGTTCTCCAAGAGCAGGTTGGCATCTGTGCTCTGAGACCTGTCCTCCCGGATCTCAGTGCTGTCCTGGGCCTGGCTGATACTCAGACTGTGGTATACCCGGGTGAGGCCAGGACCCTGGAGTGGGGGTGGGGGTGGGGTGCCCTGGGGGTAAAACCAGCCTTTTTTCTTATTTTTATTTATTTATTTATTTGGTTTGTGGGTTGGTTTTTTTGGGGGGGGATTTGAGTTGCCATCCCCCGGGGCCCCTAGAAATGCTGCCCCGGTGCGCGGTGTGCCCGGCGAGAGAGGGCTGCAGAGGTAGTTCTCAAAATCTTCCCCAGGCTCCAGCCCAAAGTCCATAGCCATCTCTGCTTACCATGAATTAGAACTCCATAAAAAGAGGCTGAATTGGGAGGCCGTCTATCAAATTGCATCCATTTTACAGAGAGAGAAACTGAGCCTCCTTAGTGTCCTGGGGCTGGTGGATCACCCGGAGCCACAAAGTGCCGTTGCTCTCTGGGCTGCTGCAGGGTCATCACAGTTGGCTCAAATACTCAGGAGGCCCAGGAGCGCCCCCTTCCACGAGGACATACGAAGTTCTGGGAAGGCTGGAGGAGGGGAGCCCCTCTTGGCCCGGGGAACAGGGCTGGGAAGGCCTACTCCAGGTAGGGGTGGGGAGGCTGTTCTTAGTAAGGCTCTTTACCCTCAGGAAAGATGAGGAGGGAAGGGACCAGCTCCCGGCACCTCTGGGTTATTTCTGGTTCCGGGGTGGCATGCCCCCCGCCCCTGCTCTTAGGCTGCAGTTGTCCCAGCCTTGCCTGCCCTACCCTGGTAGGCCATGGGCTGGCGCCCGCTTTCAAAACTCTTGGCCTAGTTTCCCCCCAGCCTCCCAACCCTCTGCCTGCTCCGATGGCTTTTCATGTCCATCAGAGACTGCTGCTTCCTGTGGCTGGCAGAGTGGGATTCTAGACCTGGCCCCTGGACGGCTGTGTGGCCCTGGCAGGGTCATAGCCCTTCTCAGCCTCAGCTGCCACCTCTGTAAAAGGACTGTGTGGGGAGGAGAGCAGACTTTGTGCGACTCTTGGGACTTCTTTGATGATGGGCTGCTGTGGGGTGTTGGGTGGGACAGCACTGGGGGGGGGGTCAGAAGGCCAGGCTGGGCCTTTGTCGGCCCCTGCCTTGCATTGGGCTTCCAGGAAGTCATGGTTCCACGGTGGGTCTCCACTCCCCCGTTCCTGACCCTGAAGACCCCTTCCATGGGAGTAGGGTCAGGGGGAAGGGGAGGTGGTGGCCCCATCTCGTCAGGAGTCTCATGTCAGAGGCAAGGGAAGGTCTTACGTGCAGGGGCTGCGGGGCCTGAGGTTTGGGGCGAGGAAGCCATCTGTACCAGTGTCTCTGTTAGTGCTGGGGTAGTTGCTGCCTCCTTTGTGAACTTGGGTCGCTGTGATTGTGAATAAAGGTGATTTCGTACCAGCCTGAGGGCTGTGCTGTGCTGTGTGGAGGGCTGAGGAGGGAGGACCGAGGTGGGGTTGGGGGGCGGGGTGGTGAAGGTGAAGGGTCAGGTGTCAACAATCAGGGGAGACTCCCTGGAGTGGGGGGCGGGAGCATGACCTGGGGCTTGGACAGCAGGGGCCAGAATGCCAGGTGAGAAAGGGACAAGCCGCTGCCCTGTGTTGCCCTCAAATCCCTGGATCCCTGCCGAGCAGTGTTTATTGGGGCAGGAGCAGAGTCCCTGAGGCCTGCTCAGCTTTCTATGAAGGCGGAGGTGGGCCCAAACCTGGCTCCAAACCCTCGTGGGGTGGCACTGCTACCTAGGGGCTCATGGGAGGATGATAAACCCGTCACAAGGTCAGGAGGGGCCAGTGCTGAATGGGTGAGGGCAGCACAGAAAAGGGAGGGCTCTGCCTGGGCCTTTAGAGAAACCTTCTAGATGTGCTGAGTCTATCTGGTTGGCAGTAGAAGCTGGGAGTGGTGGAGCGGATCTAGGCACAGCGTGGGAATCATGCTCATTTGGTGGGGCTGGGACTCCAGCACAGAGCATGCCTGCCTTCCTGGCCTTGCCCCTGGGAAGATGCTCTGGTCCCTACAGCAGGACAACCCAGCCCTGTTTACTGGAGTCCGGCAAAAGCAGGGGAGCATCTGGGGCTTCAAGCTGAGGGGCCAGCCAGGCCTGCTGGATGTGGGTCTTTTGCCCCAAGATCTGCATTTCTCTCTCTCAAAGCCTTGGCAACTGCCCAGAAAGCTTCCTGTAGGTGGGGAAGGGGAGAAGTGGGGGAAGGGAGGAGAAACTTGAGCATGGCTCTCACCAACAAAAGTGGCAACTTACCTGCCTCCCCCCGCCCCTCCAGTGTCCTCAGAGGGGCCCCGGATCCTGCAGTTCATGCTTCATTCTGGATAAGGTGCCTTTTGCTATGTAACTGGATGGCTTTTCTGATGGCAGGGAGAATTAAGAGGTGATTCTGTTCAGTTAAAAAGGCCAAAAACTTTATTTAGTTTTCAGGGAAATACAAGATGTAAACATAAACAAAATATAAAACAAAACAACCCAAATCTTACAGTCTAGAAGCATGCCAAAACAGGGTATTTTCTGCAGACCAAAGAGTCCCGTCAGCATGATAAAGGACACCTGGAAAGTGGCAGGCCAAGGGGTTGGGTCCCTTCCCCAAGGACACTGCATTTTTGTGATGAGAACAATTAAAAAAAAACAACCCACTATTAAAAATATTAGAAACATGGAGATAGTTTAGCACCACCATTGATCCTGGAAATTTTTTAGCACTCAAATTGCGCTGAATTCACTGTCCTTTTCTTCAGCTTCTCTGCTAAGGGCAGAAGAGGGCACAACCTCCTTCTGACCCCACAGAGCCTGCCAGGAGCTGGGAGGGGTTAAATGGACACCATAAAGAATCCCCCAAAGCTCTGGAGCCCCAAAGACATCCAGCAGTTCACAGGCAACCATGCGCTCCCCAAACCACACTTGAGGGACCTGCCACTTACATCTTCACTCAGAAGTCACCTTCCTGCAGACCTCTCAGGAACTGTCAGTGAAACCCTTTTCCCAGCCTATGTCCTGGATTTAAAGAAAACCGGTTGCAGAGAACAAGTTGCAGATCCAAGAATGGTGGCTCTGTTTACCCTTCTCTCTCCAAAGTAGGTGCTTATGGAAAGGTGCCCTGGTGACGGGCCACCGAAAATGAAAGGGCATGTCCATGGATGAGTGTGCGTGGCCCCCTGTCTTCTGAGTCACACCTGTGCGGCTGGCTCAGCAGACTGAGTCAGGTCTCAGGTAGAGATACTCAAGACTACAGGTCTCAGTAGAGATACTCAAGAAGAACAACTGGTGTCAACAGAAGAAGAAATGAGGCTGCTTTCCTCCCAGACATGCTTGGTGGTGTCTGGACCCTGAGGTTCCAGTTTGGGGGTTGTGGGTCATTACTGTACAACCCATTACGGTCACTGGTCTCTAACCAATTCCAGCAATTTGAGAGGCTAGCTCTGGATTGGACAAAGGGATGTGGGCAAAACATGCTGGGAACCTGAGAGATGGAGGAATGTTCTGGAGCCAGAGCCCCCAGACTCAAAGACTGGTTTGTTGCTAGCAACTTCCCATCCCCACTAAGTAAATCAGTGACTATTCATTAACAACATGCTGGGGACCCAGGTTGTGGCCCAGCAAGTAGCTGTTTCTCGAGTCAGCTGCTTCTGTGGCCAAATCTTAGGGCTTTTCCAACCTGCTCTGACTTGGGTGTTGCATCAGTAAATTCCCTCTGTACCTGTTCTCTTCCTCCTGAAACGCTCAGAATTGACTTCTTCCTTCTTTTGAATAAAGACTAAACTCCAGCCTCCAGACCCTCTCTCCGCCTTCTCACACTTTTCCCTTCTGCCTAGAAGACATCCTCTTCTGGAAGCCACCTTCCCAGGGAAGGGACGGTAAGCCCCAGCCACTCCAAACATGCACACACTCCTCACGCCAACGTGCCTCTTGCTTGCCTCCAACGTGCTCGAGCCATCCTTCCGCCTTAAAACAATTCTCTCACGCACTCTCTCTCTCCTCTCGCCTCCTGAGGTCCAGCCCTTAGCCAGGGTGGAACTGGGAACAAAGGAGGGACCTTCACCTCAGAAACCCATTCTCTAAGGCCACTAAGTTCTAGGACTGGGATGGGAGAGGGGGCTGATTGTCAAGGTCAAGTGTAAACCCAAGATTAAAAAGATAGGATTGGGGAAAGGAGATCTCATGGTAACCCCAACCTTACAGGCAGGTTGGGATCAAGGCCTTAGAAGGCAGAGCCCTCTACCCAGTCTATAAGCACCAGTGATGCCAACTTCTGGCTGCAGATCTAGGTGCACAGGACAAAACAGAGGGAGGCAAAAATCAGTGAGGCTGCTGCTTCTGAAACAAGGCTGTAGGGCAGTAACCCCATCCTGTCACTGTCTCTGGTCACAGAACTTGAGAACCACTGAGGCTGCCTCCAATAGGGATCACGACTTAGGCAAAAAGCTCAGTGAAGTCAAGGGAAAGCGCCCCACACCGCTCCCATGACATGCTCAGCTGGGGCGTGCAGTCTGGTGTACTGACCTCACCGGGAGCATGTTTTCGCCCCCAGCAGCCTGACCACCCTCAGAAACAGGAACCGAGGACCAGTGGCTCTTATGCTCTGGGGCCTCCCGCAGCGATGGCACGCATGGCAACGGGCAGGCTCAGCCTGCTGGACAGCATGTCTGTAGGTGGTGACCTGGTTCAACCATCCCAGCGCTTCCACACCCAGTGACTTCTCTCTTCCCCAGCTTCATTTTGGAGCCCGGGATAATGGCCTAGGCTGCTTCTGCTAGATCTGTTAATGCCAGTGTGAAGTTTCCAACGAAATAATAAAATAATTACCAAAAAAAAAAAAAAAAAGACACATTGCACTCTCCAGCCAGAATTACGTGTGAATAATAACACACTTGCTGCCAGAAACTGCGAGTCCCATGGGGCCTGCCCAATGCCAAGGACTTGTAAAATGGAGACAGCTTGCCCGGTATTTGTTCTCTAACCCCGTGTTATTTAGTTCAAGTGGGAAATTACCAACACACACACACACACTCACTCACTCTCAACACACGGCCCTCAAAAAAATGAGGGAATCTTAATTCTTTAGCAATGTGGATGATTCTCTTTCCAGAGAGCTCTGCATCAAGATTCTCAAAGATTGGACATATAGACATACATACTCCAAGGAGAGACACCCACACACTGGGGCACGGTCCCACTCTGGGCACGCAGATCCACGTTTGTACAGAAATTCACCAAATGGAGGGGTTGAAGCAGCAAGCATACAGTACTGGAGATGGAGGGACAAGCCAGCGAGGACATCCCTGGAGCCCTGAAGGGCAGAGCTCCAAGGGCTTGGACCCAGAGACTTCCCATCCTGCTGCTTTCTCGACCTGCGCCAAGTAAGGAGGAGGCCGGCTTGGTACCTGGTGTGGGAAGCTGTCTACAAAGACCTGAGTAGGCCCCTCAGATGCTTCTCTAAGGCCCTCTGGGAACTGTTGGGGTGTTAAGCAAGAGGCAGGGCTCCCTCCTCAGGCTGAAGTCATTGAGATGAATGGGTGGCCCAAGCTTAGCACCAGGCCTAGCTGCAGGCTTGTGGGAATTGGTGTCTCACTGGGGTATGTAGGGCTCAAGGCACCCACATCCCCGAAAAAGATTTGGTTACATCTAGGGTTCCTGCCCATAAACCGAACTGAGGTTACATAGTTTTAAAAAGACTCAAACATACATCAAAAGATCATGGCCCACACATCAGGAGACTGGGGTGAGACAGGGCTGCTGGGGCTGATTTTTTAAGACCGGTCTTTCTGGGCAGCTAGCTGAAAAGCAATGGAAATGAAAACAAGGAACTGTTCCCGGATGCCCTTGCTCTGCTCCGAGGCCTGGGGCCCCAGGAGGTCGAGAGCCCCGTGCCTGCGTCCCCGAATTCCTCCTGGGTGGAGAACACCCAACAGAAAAAGGGGCTGCCCTCTGCCACCTTGCCAGGGGAGGAGGGGTCAAAGATCAACACCCAGAAGGTCACCTGTCTGCTCCACAACCCCACCTCCTCCTACAGACACACCGGGCCACTGGGTCTCCCACCGCTGTCCCAACGAGCCCTGGCAGCCCTCGGTAATATTGCACTTTTCCTGTCTCTCAGATTGTTTTCATTTTCGATTGAGAATGCAAAGTATTCGGAGGGGTAAGGGAAGTGAGTAACCTTAAAGAAATAATATATTAGTTAAATACAAAAACAAAACAAAACAAAACAGGAAAAGTAGGGGCTACTTTATCTTTTTCTTTTTTTCTTAAAACAAAACAAACTACCAAACCAAGGTCTAAACTTAAATAGTTCTACGCCTACTCTGCAAATACTAGTAATATGAAAATAATGCTCAACCGAAATTCCCTTGTCTTTCTTCCTTAGATGATAAAAGTAGTAACATGCCTTGCTGAGGAAAGCGATGGATATAAATACCAGTAAAATATGCTGCTCTAACATCTGAAAGTGATTAAAACGATTCTATATAATGCCTTCGTCAAGATGGAGAATCGAGAGTAAGAAAGAGAAGCCTCTGGGGCCAGGCTAGGGGTGGAGTGCTGAGGCTGGCAAGGCAGGGCCCGGCTACAACCAGGGGCAGATGGCATGCTTGCCGTCCAGAGTTGCCCCTTCCAGCTCCCTCCTGCTGTCCCTGGCATCCCCTGGCCCGGTGGGAACAGCGTGGCAGGGCCAGGGACCCCAGCCAGGCCCGCTGTTCCAAAGTGGGAGAGAGATGAAGACATTTTTTTCCCCCTTGTAATGAAAGAAAAAGGTCTTTGAAAGAAAAAGCACCAAATGATGCATCTTCAGGCATTATATAAAGCTCAATAATGACCTCAGAAGGGCTCATTATGATTAAAGTTGCAGTATACAGCAATACAATGCCATTTCACATTTTCAATCGCAACTAATGGGAAACTGGGTTTGGACACTGCTGAGATTTCATTTTTCTTTTTCCTTTTTTAGTCCGATCTGGTTTTCCTCCAGATGGGTCAGAGCCGCAGGCCCCTCCCTCCTCCACCTGCTGCTGGCGATACCCTCCAACAACACAAAGCAGCTCAGTAGCTCTAGGGAAAGGCCCTCTTGCCCTGGGTGGGGCTGGGAGTCCAGGGGTACAAGGCCTGGCACCCCCTGGCCGTGTCTGAGAGGGACTGGCATGCACCCTTCTTGCTTCAAGTATTCATATTCTCTTTGGGTTTGCAGGGTTTGTGCTGTGTTGTGAGTCAGGGGGTGATGGTGAGGGGGTGAGGTGCAAAGACGGGGCATGGCAATCCCTGTTCACTGCCTAAATCTACATGCTGTCACCAGGTGGCAGCATTCCCCACTTCTCCTAGATGCCTGAGCAACTCCCAGCCATCCTGAGAGGGCTGGATGTCACAATGTAAACATGATGACCACACGATAAACTACAATGGGGTTGGGAAGGAGTGCAAGGATTGGTACAGTGGGGTGCTCTGCCATTAACTAGCTCCATGATTTCGGGAAAGTAATTTCTTGTCCTTGGGCTGCAGTAACAGGAGGGGATAGGATGGAATGACCTTGAAGGTCACTTTTAATGACCATCACTTAGAGCACTGGGGATCAAGGAGAGAGGGTCCTTGGGGAGTGCAGAGAAGGTGGGCTTCGTGGGTGCTGGAGAGCCCCATGGGGCAGCGCAGACAGTGAGGAAGGGCAGGGAAAGTCAGGCTCTGGGGAACACTGCGGTCCAGTCCCAACTGAGATGCTGCTCTGTGCTTGGCCGATGCGTCCTGCGCTCCCTCCTGGCCTGGCTGGCACATTACTGACTGAACTGGCTCAGTGCAGACAGTGGAGGAGCGAGGCCGCTGGGGCCCTCCCCCTGGAAGACAGCTACACGGAAGGTCCTTTCACCCAATAGTCACTCTACTTTTAAATTTTATTTTAAATAATCATAAATTACTTTTTTCTTTTAATAAATATGTGCTGCTTAAAAATGAGAAAAGTATATACTGCATCTTTAAGTAATGCACTTTGCTCTCTGGGTTTCTTCCCAGTCCACCTTATTAAAGTGCACTAATTAAAAAATAATGAACCACTTCTTTATCATTATTGTTCAAATAAGTCCAAATAATATTAATATGAAGACACTAAACCACTACCATTAGTACTGCAACCTAGCAGATTAACTCAATATCCTGCTCTATTTAATACTGTCCAGCAGAAGAAAATAACTAATTTCAATTTTAAACAAACTCACAAACAAAAGGAAACAAAATCTCACCACGGCCCTTCAACAAAGAACAGGAGCAGTTTGCTGGAGCTGCCAGGCATCAGTGTGCGGCGAGGGAGGAGGTCTGGGGAGGTCCCCACGCGAGGCCTCAGGTCTGGGGGGTGGGGTGGGTGGGGTACTAAAGGCACGGAACACAGGGTCCCGTGCTGATCTTCAGGCAACATACACTGCCTTGGGGGGCGGGGGAGCAGGGGGAGAGGGAGGGCCTTTCCTCCTTTGTAGAAAACACCAACCCTTAGTCCGGGCCTCTGGCAGCTGAGCTGGTGGCCGTGAAGCCCCATCGGTCCACAATCAAAGGCACGTGTGGAATTCCACTCCCAGCAAAGGGGGAGTCCTTGGGGAAGCCGAGGCTTCCAGAGGGTCCCCTCTGAAACGTCAACGATCGAAAGACAACCCAAAGTTGACAGGGACTTTATTCTCTCCTCTCTTCACGGGGGCACTGCCCCTTGGGCAGACTGGGTTGGCTCCCGGCCTGGGGGTCCTCCATCTTTTCGGGTACCTGTGGCATCATGTGTAGGTAGGGGGTGGCTGGTGGCCGCCCAGCTGGGGTCCCCTCAGCCCTCGGTGGGGGCGCTGGTTGCTTCTCCACAGTTCACAGGTAAGGGTTTTTGGTCCTGCCCGGGCGGGAGAACGGACGCAGAACGGTGCTCACCCAGCAGGTTGAGAGCTGCCTTCTCTCCTAGACAAGCCCCTCCTCCCTCCTGGGGAGGGTTCTGCCCCCACTGGGGCGTCTCTGCTCTGCCACGTCTGGGACCTGGGCCTTCCGCCCCCAGTCCCCCCAGCAAGTGCCATGCTAGGGTCCTGTCGGCAACAGTGGGAACCAAATGAAGGGACTTTGGCTTGTGGAGGGAAAGAAAGTGAAACGCAAACACAACCAACAACCTCCCAGCAAGAGCACAACAGAAAAGCCCCCTCTGCTCCTTGTCCCATCCCCCACGAGGCTCACCGCCCTTGGGCCCCCAAACAACCCCTAAAATAAGACCAAAACCCAAGGGCTGACATAGAAGCCCCAAATCAATAAACCTCTCCCAAAACATGCAAAAGAACTGCCCACCCAGAAACACCCAAAATAAAGTCTGTGCAGACGGTGAAGAGACCGATGGCTTCGCCCACCCGCTCTGTAAACTCTGGGGCTGCAGGTCCAACGAAGAAGGGGTGCCCCAGGCAGGGGACTCCCTTCTCAAAGCCAGGGACAGTGACGGGTAAGCAAGGTGGTCTTTGCTGGCACCTGTGGAACTGCTTTCTCTTCACCAACACACACTGACAGCGGCCCAGCCCAGGGACAGGCTGAGCTCCCAGGAGACGCCTCCAAGCCCCAGCGCCACCTGCGGTGGGCGCAGTCCCAGGGAAACCAGCACAATTCATGAATACAGGTTTAGGATGATCCAAGGACCACCTCCGGTGGCGAGGTGCTAACCACAGAAACCAGGCTGGGCAGGGGCAGGGCGCGGGAGGCCCCTGCCATCACATCTTTCCCAGATCTGCAGCCAAGGCACAATCAAGAGTTTCCCACCTGGCCTGCCCCAAATGGTGCCAGGTGCATCAGCCAAGTCACCGAGGTGCCCACACGGGGCTCAGCTTTCTCACCTCTGGTCCCAGGCCTGGTGCTCCCCCGCCCTCAGTGTGGGCCCCCGCCAGACCTTACCTGCCAGCCAGGGGACAGCCTGGAGGGGAGCATGGCTGGGCTCACGCATTCTGCAGGGTTTAACGTCCCCCCCACCCCCTCCCACTTTCCCTTTCCCCTTTGTCTCCATCTCACCACTCCTCCACACCCAGGCCGGAAGGACCCACAGCCTCCCGTTAGTTCTTTTTCTCCAGGTAGTTGGAGGGCACCCAGCCTTTGAAGGGCTTCGCCCCGTCCAGGATCTGGCAGTACCACCAACCGTTGGGGTTCCTCTCCAGGACCTCCATGGACACGCCCTCCTGGAAGCCTGCCGTCTCCTCGTCCCCCTCATAGTCCGCGATGGAGACATACACATCTTTGAGGTTGTTGTGGATGAACTGGGACTTCTCAATGGGCTTGGGGCGCACGGGGGACACGGGGATGCCGTTGCGCTGGGCGGGCAGCAGAGGCGCGTCCGAGCCCTGGCTGGCAGCCCGTTCGGCCAGGCGGCTCTTGGCCTCGGTGGCAGCTGAGCGCGCACTGCTGAAGGAGGAGTTCCGGCGGACGCCTCGGAGCCCGTCGGTGGCCGTGAGCGACTCGTTCCTCCGCAGGGCACAGGACAGGTTGTTGTCCTTGGGCGGCGGGGACACGAACACCGACTGGGGCCTCACCGCCACCTGCCGCACGCCGTTCCTCATCTTCACGGCGCCGGCAGCCGTGGTCTTGCTGAAGCCCCCGGGGGGCTTGGAGGGGATGGGCGGCGTGGCCCGCTTGCTCTGGTTGACGGTGTTCAGTGCTTGGACCCGCTTCTCGATCTTTTCCAGGCTGTCGGACTTGCCCTCGTTCTGCTTGCTTTTGGGGCTTACTGTGTCTGGCTCTTTGCCAGAGGAGTCGGGTTGCTCGTTCTCGCCGAGCACCAGATAGTGGGAAGGGGCCCAGCCCTCTAGCTCCCCAAACCTCACGTACCACCAGCCGCTTTCTAGCTTCTCGAGCACTTGGACCTCCGCGCCTGCGGGGAAGCTGATCTCTGAGTCCTGGACCTTCTGGTAGGCGCTACATGTCGTGTAGGAGGTGGCCTGCCCTTCGCGTCCCTTCTTGGCGGGACACGGGGGTGTGGCGGCTGCGGGGGTAATGAGGTCAGCAGAGCCTCTTCTGGACCCCTCACTGGGACCTTCGAAGGCCGTGTGGGGGGGCAGCTCCGAATCCTCGCTCTTTGAGCCCCTGAGACCGCCCCGGAGCTGGCCCGTGGGTCTCAGCTGGCGCCGTAAAGTGCTGATGTCCATCTTCTCTTGACTCTGGGACTCTGCCCGGCTCAGGAACGGCTTGGGCCGGACCGACGGCTTGGCCCGGGCACACGAGCTCAGCCCCGCCTTCAGGTCGGCATCCCTCTTCGGCCCGACTGCGGGGGGGCCACGGATGCCTGCGTCTGAGGCAGAGCGGGGCTTCAGGTCACCGCTGTTCTTGGACAAGGAGGAGGAAGAGGAGGAGGAAGAGCAGGTGGTATTGATGGTGATGGACGAGGAAAAGGAGGCCGAGGAATGGTTCTTCCCCAGTTCCGCCTGGGCGTTCTTCTCCACCTTGAGCTTCAGGAGGGACGACGATTTGGGGGAGCCCGACTTGGGGGAGTTTTTCCTGGCCAGGGATAGAGGGGAGCCCCCAGGGGAGTCGCTGTCCCGGGAGGAGCGTCTGGCGGACAGGGCGTCCTCCGCACACGGCCGGAAGCCCTCATTCTCATAGATGGTCTCTTCCTCCACGGCCACGTCCTCTGAAGAGCCGCCCACCCGGAAGCGGGCCCGCTGCAGCGAGGAGGCAGGGGAGGGCCTGTGGGCCTGGGGGGGCCGCCTGTCTCCCGACCCGCTGTCCTCCGTGGGCTCCTCACTCAGCTCGGGCTCTGAGTCGAAGCCAAAGGCAGGGATGTCATACTCCGGCTCCTCGTACTTCAGCTTCAGCGGGGAGTCCTGGCTCTCGGCAGAGCCCACTGGACCCTCCTCGGCCTCCTTGGGCTTGCTGGGGGGTGCTGGTGGGGGTACCTTGGGCCGGGTCAGCGTGCTCGTCCGGCGGCTCAGGTTGGGCTTCTTGCGCTTATCGATGTATGACGCAGGGGCCCAGCCCTCCTTCTCACCAATCTGCACGTACCACCAACCGCCCGAGTTCTTATCGATGACCTAGGGGAGGAGGGGGCAGGCCGGTGAGTTGGGAGGATCGCTGGACCCTACGACGATGTGCCAGACTAGGACACAGGGTCTCCATTTCACAGATGAGCCAAGTGAGCTGCTGAGTAAGTGGCCCAGGGTAATACGTGCTGGGCTGGAATTCAAACCCGGGTCCCTACCACCTCCTACTCCCCCACACCCTCTCCCCTGGTCCTCCAAGTCTCCATCAGCACCCTGGTCGAGCCAGCCTCGTCTGTAGACCCCTGTCTCTCCCCCTAGGCTATGCTTCTAGTCCCTACAGAACCCAACTCGCCAAGGATCCACAGGTATAAAAAAATGCAATTCCACTGCCCTTCATCCTACCCCCAGTATTGCTAGGTCCTTCGTTGGTGACCATGGAAAGGGTGTCTCATGTCAGAAGAGAATGGGAAGATGCAGGTGAGCTGAACTGGGAGGTACGGCCTGAGCCCAGAGCCTCCCTGCAGAGCACCTCCCTGGTGCCCCCACTGCCTGTGGTCATTTTGCGGCATGTGGGATCCCAATAAAATCCCACTGGCTGAAAGGATTTCTTTGTGTTAAATAATTTCCCGTGGGAAGGATGAGGGTCTTTTAGTCATTTCCATGTTAGTATAAATTAGTTCAAAGAGCTTCCTTCTTAACTGCAATTTGAGATCAGGTAAAGGCCAGGAGTGTGGTGCTGGTTGCGCTGCTCTATTGGGATTGGGGAACATAAAGGGAAAATAATTTTGGATTGTGGGACACTCCTGGAGAAAGAGGTACTAGGGAGCGGGTGGGGAAGTATGAAAAAACTGCCACGAGGGGAAGAGGGGCGGAGAAGGAAGAGAGAGACAGAGAGACTGCCGAAGGCAAGCCCTGCTTGAGAGCAGCCCTCTGCAGACCCCACCAGAGGGAGGCCTTTTCTCCCTCCTTTGGTTCGATAGTCCCTCCTTCGCCCTGCCCTCCCCATACTTAAAATTTAAGCTTGGGTAGATCCTAAGTACCACAGTTTGGTTAGATGGTGAGCTTTGGAGGCTCTTCTGGAAACCTAGGCACCGCTAACAGAATTATTTGTCTCGGAAATTTAGTTCCAAACCCAAGACGTGATGGAAAACATTCACACTGGGGACATCGTTTCCACAGGCGGAGGCTGCCCGGGGGCTCTTCCGACAGCTGTTAATTGGATTCAACCCCCTTCCTACACGAGCCACTCCATGGAACTGACCTGCCTCACAGATCTCTGCCCCTTGCAACAGCCACAAAGTAGCGTCTCATAAATGCTAGGCTGGGGGGTGCGCCACAGAGTCTGTTACCCCACTTGGCAGAGACAAATAAAGCCTGGGGAGAGAAGGGACTGTATCAAAGGCCAGAGGCGACTGCGGTGTGGACATGGCCAGAACCCAGGTCCTTCGTACTTTGGCTGCGTGGACCACCTTCTCCCAACAGCACCACTCACTAAGGGGAGTTCTTCGGAATCTCGGCCCCCAAGGTGCTCCCAGGAGACAAAGTGTGCTGGGGCCAAATGGTTCTGGGCAATGCTGCTATTCTAGTCCCCTCTTAGAGATGCACAGTGACATCCCTATAGCGTAGGCTCTGACAAGTTCTGCAACGAAAACCACATAACTGGGGTGGATTTTGTTTAACCCACTGTCCTTCAAACCTACTCAACCACAGAAGCCCCTTGTGTCCGGGCACCTCCATCAGCAGCGCCCACCGTATGCTTTGGGAAATGCTGCTGTGAGGGACGCACTGGGTGGGGACAGGAGTCCTGGATTCCGGTCCTGACTGTGGCACTTACTGGCTTAAGGCAAATTCTCATCCCCGGGGGGCTTGCTTTTGTATCTTTCCCGCCTGCCCCCCTGCCACGTTGCCAGCAAGGCATAAATGGGAAGCATGGCAGGTCTTTGAGCAGCATGACTTAAAGCCCTCAGCTTCATGGCCGAGACTCACCTCCGCCTTCTGTCCACCCCGAAAGCTGATGCCATCAGAGATGCACGACTGGAATTCGGCAATGGTGTAATACTCCACCTCAACAGAAGGGGGCTCTGGCGGCTTGGGCAGCTGGAACCCCTAAGGCAGAGAAGGGCTCAGTCAGCAAAACAGGCCTGATCAGAAGGGCAGGAGAGGTGGGAGGGTGGCCTTTACACCAGCCGGGGGGCCACCGGCCTGAGGAAGGATCTGTCACACGCGGCTCAGGCTGTCTCCCCCAAGAGACTGTTCTCCTGAGCAGACTTTCCACTGCTACCCATGATTCACTTGAAACTCCTCTGCGCTATCACAACGATCAGTTAGTAACAGTAATTTCCACCCCAACATCTCTGGAGATCCAGTTTATAGGTGCTTCAATGGCTAGGTCCCCAAAAGAAAATTACAAAGCAGAGAGCTTGTTGTAACAAAGTCTGTGCCAACTGCCCTGTGGGAGGAGAGCCACGTCCTTAAGTCAAGGTGAGGGGCTGCAGGGGTGACATCTGGCATCTCTTCGGGGAGGAGGGGGGGGTGGAAAGGGGCGTGGAGGTGGGTGAGGAGGGCCCCTGGTGGCTCGTCACGATGCTGCCAAATGGTCAGGCAAGCACCGAACAAAACTTGAGACCCTCTGTTCTGTGGGCAGGGTAGAACATGCCGGATTGGTGACACCAGTATCTAAGCATGACATTCAGGGACATTCAGAATTTGGCTGTGGCCATCACTTCTGAGCCTTGTTTATTTACTTCACAAACGTTTATTGTGCGTCTTCTGGGTGCCAGACATCGGTCTAAGGCCCTGGGCATTTAACAGTGAACCAAGAGGACAACCCCCTTGCCCTCATGAAGCGGACAACCTACTTTCATCTGGCCTCTCTACTCTGGTCAAAATGGATCTCATGCCACCCCATTACTTTCAGCAGGTCCCAGTATCATACAAAGGGGTTAAAGCAAAACAAAAAAAGTGTGTGGGGGGAGGAGGGAGCGGGCAGGGAGAGGGAAGCCGCTGTGGTATAACAGGAAGACCTCAAAAGACCTCTGCCTTGCAGCTGGACACGTGTGGGCTCCAATCCCAGCTCGGCAGCTCACCAGCTGTGTGGCCTTGGGCAAAGCCTGTGACCTCTCTGAGTCTCAGCTTCCTTGTCTGTAAAATGGGTCATGAAGAGGATTACTGAGATATATACATAACTTCTGGTCTAGCCAGGGACACAGGACAAGCTCCACAAGTAGAAGCCAGAGCTGACCATTCCTTCTGAAACACCACCCTCTTCCTTGGAACCTTCTGCATCCTTCACGGCTCGGCCTGTCCTAACCCTGCCAGTCACAGCCCAGCTGCTTTGGGTCGCAGTGAGCAAGGGGCAGGAGGAAGCTGCTTTTGAGGGACTTGCCCTGCCCTGGTACCTGGCCCTGCAGGTGTGTGTGGGAGCAGACGCGGCGCAGGCCCCAGCCCAGCCCCGACACCCCGCCAGGTGGGATTCAGCCGCATCTAGCAGCCCCGCATTTGGTCTGTGTGGAAGGAACGACCCCGTTCTTGCCAAATTCGAGTCTGAAAATAATCCGCTGGGACTGAGAGAGATGGGACGGGAGAGCTCACGGTTTAGTCAGGGAACACTCGAGGGGACAATGACGCAGGAGCTCCCCTGGGGCTTCTGGCCAGGGCAGGGGGGGTTTCATCCCCACAGGCCTCACCCTCAAAACCCGTTCACTGACGGCCCGCTCTTCCAGGGGCGCTGCTCCCCCTCTCCAGGGCAGAGGTCGTGGGCCACGGTGACCCTTACCACTAAGCCCAGCGAGACTGCAGGGACCTTTCTCCACACGGTGTGACAGGCAGTCCCTCCGACAGCTGACACGGGAAACAGAAACCCTCACACACCATCCCATTCCCTCCTTCCCGCAGCTCGAGGAGCCGGCTGCCATTGTCCCCACCTTAGGAGGAAATTGAGGCTCGCGGATGGTAATGGACTTGCCCAGAGTCTTGCTATTTCTAAGTGTCAGAAGTGGAATATGAATCCACGCCCGGTAGGCTCAAAGCCCCATTCTTTTCCACTGCACCCCGCTACCCCTGAGGAGAGTTCTCTGTACTAGGGCTTCCGGCCTGCCACCAGCATCACCGCTCCCTAAGCCCTGTACGCCAAGTGCGTATCTGCTTCCCTAATGGTCAGCACACCGGGACCTGCACCCCTAGGAGCCAGGGCCCCCAGCAAGTTGAGCCTCTCACTTTCAGCCCACATGAGTCCTGGCTATTTACCCTTCCCCGGAGGGTGCTTGCCACGCTGCCCTCTGCCCTCGCAGGCTCTGGCATCCACCGCAACCACTGGCTACTCCTGGGCCAGGAAGGCGGAGCTGAAAGCCTTCCAGGCGCACATGGACGGCCGCCCCGTTTCCAGCCCCTGGCAGTGCCCTGGCCGGACACTCGTGCTGGCCAGTCTAAACGTTTATGTCTGCCTGTGGAGTGGCTGGGATGGATTGATTTAGCTTTGGAGTGCAGTGCGGTTCTGAATATAAACTGTCCAGCGAGGCCCCCGGGATGTCTGGGATCGCCAGGCTTTCCTCTCTGCCCCTGGCCCCACAAAGCTGGCAGCCTAGCAGGGCCCTGGAAAACCCCTGGACTGACAGGCACTGAAATGAGACCGCCAATGAGCTGGGGCCGTTAGGGTGCACGCCCAGAGACAGGAAGAAAACTGGGAGAAGAAATTCAGCACACGTACCAGGCTTGATTCTCTGCGAGGTGGAGGCCTTGTCCTTAGGTTCGGGGAGCCTAGAACAAGAAACATGGCTTCAGGAAGCCCAGCCAGACAATGGGCAACAGTGCTGGAACCTGCCTGCCCTAGGTACGGCCACCTCCCAAGCCTGGGATGTTCCTGGTTTTGTCCCACATTCTGGAAGGACCCATGCTCTCAGGCACTATAGTTTCTTTACTAGGAAACCACAGACCTTTAAGCTTCCTGGGCTGTGTTTCAGGGGATCCACAAACCCTCTAAAATGATGTGCACATTTCAAAATGCACAAAGAGGCATTTTTCAGGAGAAAGGGTAAGCAGTTCTATCAGATTTTCAAAAGTTAGGAGGAGACTGTGTCTATTTTTTACTCACTGCCAAATCCTTAGAAGCTGGCACGCTGCCAGGCAAGGGTGGGTGCCCAAGAAACACTTCCCGACTGATTTGCCCAAAAGGTTTCACGCACAAGAGCTAACTTAAAACCAAGTTCAGAACTAAACTAAAAAACAGCTTTCCTCCAGATTTTAAGGATGGCTGGACATAAAGAGAAGCTGGTCTCATAATGTAGGACAATTTAACCTTGAACTGAAGATGCTGTTGAGCCAGGTAAGGACAGAGATTTGGAGGGAGCCAGGTAGCGGGTTTCTAAGGATGGAGGATATTCCTAAAGAATGCCCTCTTAGACTGCTTGGGGAGAGGTAAAGCCATTCCTCCCAAGTCTTTTAGGCTTCTGGTAACTGGCGGGAGGCGACAGGGAAGGAGGGGAGGGGGGTAAGGGCGGGAAAGATGTTCTACTGGCTGTCAGTCTGTAAAGCAGTCTTGCGCAGGGGACCCCCATTTCCCAGCCTGGGGGACACACTGATCTGCAGTGTCACCATTCCTGGTCTCTTCTAGGGAAGGTGGGAATGCCAGCGGCTTACGTACTCCTGTAACTGATCTCCAGTGCAAGAGTTGTGAGGGATTGCCTTGTCCACCCATGATTAGCAGGAAACAAGTCCACAGAGTGAGGCCAGGGTTGGGGTCAGTCTAGATCTCCCTGCACCGTCACCGCTTTCCAAAGAGCGGTACAGGGAGGACGCGGGGGTCAGGGAGGTTCTTACTGATCTGGGCCCTCTGTGGGGCAATCCTGGCCACAGCTGGTGAGCCCTGGGCCAGCTTGGAGACGCTCCGCTCAGGGATGCTCAGGCCACTGCCACTGGAGGCATTGCAGAGGATGGGCAGGCTGATCTCCTTCTTGGTGACGGGGGCCTCAGGGCCCTCGCCTTCGGCCGGCGGAGTCTCCTTATCCCCTGACGCCTTCTTGTTCAGCAGGTTGCTGATCTCCATGATGTTCCCGATGATCTCCACTGGGCCTGCCAGATTCTTCTTGCGGGCTGGCAGGTCGTCCTTGGCTTTCTTCAGGTAAGAGGCTGGCGCCCAGCCCTCTTTGCCCAGGTACCTGCGGGGAAGGGGAGGAGGCGGAACATGGCATCACCCAAGCACGGCTGCCTGACCTCACACCCCACCAGGCTCCATCTGGCTGGGCCCAGCTGAGCCTTTCCGGCCGTGTTCTCCAACACCTGGCAATCCCACTACTCTGGAGGGGAGTGGAACTGAGGGCCGGTGGAAAAGACTTCTAGAACACCAATTCTTCCTCTCTGTCTCCTTGCTCTCTGCCTGATCCCTCCTGGTGTGGGCTCTCGTGCTCTGCAAAGTCAGGCAAATGTGGGACGTCAGGATTAGAAGACTCCTCAGATTCGGAGGTGCCCAAAAGGTAGACTTCACAGTAGCCTGCTGCCTCACAACAGAGAGGGCAATGCTAGAGATAAGAGCAGGTGTGAATGCGGAGCATTGGCTGGATGCCCCCGGCAGAGGGAAGTGTTATCAGAGAGGTGAAGCAGCAGCAGAGGTAAGAGAAGGTAGGAGCCCCGACTTCTCGTCTCTGGTCCCTTGGACAAGTCTCTACCCTACAGCTCAATTTTTTTTCTCTTCTGCAACCTGTAGGGATAGAGTAGCTGCAAAAATTTATCCAGAGGGGCGCCTGGGTGGCTCAGTCGTTATTAGGTGTCTGCCTTCGGCTCAGGTCATAATCTCAGGGTCCTGGGATCGAGCCCCGCATCAGGCTCCCTGCTCAGCGGGAAGCCTGCTTCTCCCTCTCCCTCTCCCACTCCCCCTGCTTGTGTTCCTGCTCTTGCTATCTTCTCTGTCAAATAAATAAATAAAATCTTTAAAAAAAATTATCCAGAAAGATAGGATATATTGAGACCTATTAGGAAGAGGCCTATAAAGAAGAGTGACCCGGTGGGTAAGGTATCAGTGCTACTGCAGGGGTGATGGACAGATCAAGTTTGCAGAACAAGTCAATAAACAGACTGGTACAAAAGGTAACATTTCGGGGCACCTGGCTGACTCAGTCAGTTAAGCGTCTGCCTTTGGTTCAGGTCATGATCCCAGGGTCCTGGGATCGAGCCCCGCATCGGGCTCCCTGCTCAGCGGGAGTCTGCTTCTCCCTCTCCCCCTGTGCCTGCTCTCTGCACGCATGCGCGCTCTCTCTAATAAATGAATAAAATCTTAAAAAAAAAAAAGGTAACATTTCAAATTAGGTAGGGACGAGGTATCAACCCACTTGGAGATGACTGATTACTCAGTTAGGAAAAGCAAGTGCGATCCTGGACTCAGAGCAGAGCAAAATAAAAAATGCAAGTTGTGAATATTTGCTTAATCTTGGGGGTTGGTTGGGCCTGGTTAGTACTTGGATGGGAGAAAATCTTTCTAAATAGGACTCCAAAAGCCAAAACCATAAATGGAAAGACTAAAAGCACATGACTGGATAAAATGAAAACCTTTGGTATGGCAAAACAAAACCAAAGTGAAACAAAACAAAATGAAAACAAAATCAAAACCCATAAACAAGAGCAAAAGGCAAATGATAGGGCTGGCTTAATTTGAGGTGATTTGATGACTTCTGAAAAGCAGCTTTTTCCTTTTTTCCCCATGGTGTTGAGAGCTTTTCCTCAAGCCCATGAAGAGCTTACTTCCTGGGCCAGCACTTGCTGGCCAATGACCCTGAGTCTGGGTTGCAGTGTCCCTGTCTGCTCCCTAGGATACATCTGGCTCTCTGGAATGGCTCCTCCGTGCCAGATGTCTGACAGTCCCCCCATCTTGCCTTCCTGATCTGACCTTGTTGGGTGTTCATTAGGTGAGAGAAAAAGGAACATGAAAGCTAAAGTTTCTATCAGCACGTCCGAGCTTTGCTGGAAAGCTTAGGTAGGAGCAGGCTTCTTATGTTCACACCACTGGAACGTACAGGCTGTCCCAAGCTCACTGGTCTGGCCCTCGCCCCCGTTTGGGGCTTGGAAGGCAGACATCAGTTAACAAATGGATGGAAGTCAAGGGGCTGGCCTGGCCTCCCAAGGTAATGGGTGCAGAGAGAAGCACAGAAATTTCAGGGGTGGATGGAAACAAAAAATGTAAAGATGCCTAATCTTACAGATGAGTCAAGATGCAAGGCTCAGAGAAGCCAAGCAAGCAGCAGAGGGCCCGAGGTTAGCTGTTGGCAGCATCTGGCCCAGAACCTGGTGCTCCCGCATCTCAGAGAAAAGATGAAGAATCTGCTGGCTGTTGCAGGTGTTCTCCTATGAGAACGCTGGGGAGATGGGGAGCGGGGTCTCGTGGGAGTGATGGTCAGGCCTGCTCACTGCCCTGAGTGCTCGCATTTCAAGCCCTGTTGTGTTCCTTTGGTGTTACATGGATAAAATTAGATTCCAGGCAGAGAGATCCAGGGGAATCAGGAGCGGCTATGTGTGTCTGGGTCCAGCTCTGCTCACATCTGCTTCCCAGCTCTGGAGAGCGGAATGACTCCAGAGGGAAGCAAACTGGAAAAGGAGGGAGGGAGGGAGGGAGAGGGAGGGTATGTGTGTGTGAGGGGAGAGGGGAGAAGACAGGCAGGAAATGAGGATCAACACAGAGCCTGGAATGGTGGGAAATGACAGATTTCAGGGGGTGTCTGGCAGCCTTCCTAAGGTGGAATCTTTTCAGGAGGGTTTTCTCAGTTGAAGCTCCCACTGAGCGCTAAAGGGTTAGGCCATGGGGACAAGAGTTGACGAGAAGAGACCGCTTGGAGTGACCTTGTTGGGCATTTTAAGAAACTAAAAGACCCCAGCAGCCTTGTAGATAACCCCTGGGCAAGTGGTTTAGGTTACCAGCCTGCCTTAGAATGTTTGCTGGCCTTCCCACGTTGACTTGTGGTTGCTGGATTTGGGGGTTGGGTCTAATTTCTTAGAGAACGTGAAAGTCTAGGGGCAGTGGCTTTGGGCAACATATGTCTAGGCAAACGGTTCCGTCTCACCCAACAGAGTAGAAAAGGACCCCTCAGCCCTCCTGACTGGTATGCATGGGGCCAAGGGCAGGGGCGGCTATGTCTTGTCAGGTCACATTAAGGCTGAATCCCATGTGGCCAGTGACCTTCACCCTACCTGTCAGCACAGCCCAATCTTGACACCATGGTCTGCTGTGGTCCGAGATACTGTCTCATGAGTGCCCACGTCCCTTGTTCAATCCTGTTCCCACTGTGGGAAATGGCTCAGAGCACACATCCTGCCCACAGTGGGTCGGCTTCCCAGGTATGATGGGCTGAGGAGTGGTCCCCTGAGCCCACAGATACGGGACTGTCAGAAACTGGGTGAAATCACTACAGCTGAGCCACTTCTAAAGCACCCAAAAACATTTCCTGCAAACAAGGCCCCGCTGGGAGGGTGCTGGCTGGCCTCAGAGCCCCAGGGTAGAGGGGACTGGAGGGCAGGACTTGGTGGGGGAGAGGTGAGTGAAGCCCACAGGCTTGAGTTTGCTTCCACGACTGCTGAGAAAGCTGAGAAAGCTCCCCACTCCCCTCCCCACACTCCCAAATGCGTTTCTCAGCTGGGAAATGTGATTCGGCCCTGCAAGAGGGAGGGGCAGGGGGAGGAGCCCTCTGACCTAGGCCTGGGCTCAGGCCTGGCTTCTGCCCTGGCTTCTGCCCTGGCTCTCACAACCCCAAGAGCCAGCCCCGCAGGGGGGAATGGCCTGGGCAAAGCCGGCATCTGGGGCCCCCGGTGTTGAGATGTGGGCAGCAGGGGCTGCCCGCCAGGACCTCAACAAGGCCTGCAGATGCTGGCGCTTTGGGCGGCCTGAACTACAGAGCGCACCAGGAGGCCAAGGCCGGACACAGAAAACCAAATTCAGATGTGCTGGACCCTCTTGGCAGATGCATGGGTCAGGGATTGCACCATGGCCTGCAAGCTGAGCCGCAACTCTGGCTCTGCTTTCCGTGTCCCAGGAGAGAAGCTGCAAGACGAGCGCTCTGGTCGAGCTGTTGAGCCGTGCAGAAGCAGCCAAGCCCGGGCTGTGGGCGCACAGCTCCCATCAGCATCTGCCTGCCACTGGAACCCACGGCCATTCTGCCGTCAGCCCTGCTACTCGGGGCGGGGGGAGGGGGTGCAGAAGTAGCTCTTTCTTCCACTGAGGCTCCTACCTGATGTACCACCAGCCCTCCAAATTCTTCCGGATCACTTCCACAGTGACGCCCTTCTCAAAGCCAATCTCGTCCTTGCTTTGGCTGGTGTAAGGCTGCACAGTGACGTACTTCTCCTCTGTGGGGAGCGAAGCAAGGAGGCGCGGTTATTTGAGGCTGGAGTGCAGGCCCTCCTTCCTGTCTTCTCCTCCCCTGGCCTGGCCCTGCTTAGCTGGGTGCCTCACTGCTGCTCCTGGTATGTGCAGAAGCCAGCCAGGGCCCCGAGCGGCCCGGCTCAGCCCTGGCAGTACAGTGCTGGCTCTCCCAGCCTCCCAGCCCACTAACAGCTGCCAGGGTGCTGGCTCCTGGGGTCCTTAGGGCCCCCAAAGCTCCCCCAGCGGAGGGCACAGCTAGAGGAACCTGCTCCTCATGCGGCCTGAGGCAGGAAGTCCCTGGGGTGTCTGGAGGCCCCCCGGCATGCCTTCCCCTTCCCTGAACATGCCATGCTTCCATCCGTGCCCTAGACCGGTTCTCGGAGTCCCTCTCCCACGTCTACCCCTTAGGTCCTGCCTCTGTCTGACCTTCCGGCAGCTCCAGGGGCACCTCCTTGGTGAAGGCTCCCCTGACCACTAATCCGATCGCCTCATCAGGTCATTTCCCCCAGAGGATTGTGGGGAACACGCGTTCTATGGGAACAGTTACATGTGTTTTAAGACAAGGGTCTGGCGGCCAAAGGATTGATGGCAGCGCCGAGTGCAGCCTCGAGGCGGGGCCTCCCGGAGTGCCAAGCTGACCGCCCAGTTTGGCAGTGCCCATGTGTGGAGCTGCCTGCTCCAGGGTCCCCCCAGGTACTGGGAAGGAGGCGCCCTATGGGAACTCAGGAAAAGCCTGGGAGGACAGGTGTGGGGACAGCTCCAGCTTCCTGGATCCCTTCGGCTTCTCTCCTGCAGGGGCCCCTGCTGCCTCTGCCTGGGCCCTAGCTCAGGCTTCCACGGAGGTGCTTCTCCTGTGACCCACAGCTGCCTGGCCACGGACACCCCGCCTCCTGGGTGGAGAGCCTCCCCAGGGGAACGCTCAGGTCTCGGGAAGGTGCACACATATCCCCACCCTCACTGTCTGGGAGAATGAGGAGCTGAGCTAGACAGAACCGGCCCCCCCGGCCACACCCTTTGAGCGGGTCACACCAAACTCATGCTGGCCCCTCCAGCCTGTGCCCGGCACACAGTCGGGGCTCCAAAGGGACTAGGCAGTGCATCATTGAAGGGCAAGGCTATCTGAACAGGGGCACTAAGTGGGAGGCTTTCTAGGAGCTCAAAATAGCAGGAGACTGGGTTCTCAGATGCCTACCCCCCTCCTCCCAGCTCCCAACTGTGAGGGTAACTCCTGGACGCCTTAGCGGGACCCTGATGGGTGGCCTGGTCTGAGCCTCTGACAGGAGTCGGGGAGGGGGGCAGCTACCACCCCAGGCCCCTGCGGCAGGAGGCCCATCTGTTCACGCTGGATTACCGGGGTCCCGCCTGTAGCCCGGCACTGGGCCGAGGTAGCAGCTCTCTCTGGGGTGGAGGTGGCTTCCCTGCTGAGCTGCAGGGGCCGCGCTGATGGGCCTGGCTGAATCCAAAAGGTCGCCAAAGGCAAAAGTAGGTGACGACCCGTGGAAGCCTCCACTATTCCTCAGCATGCTCTTCTCAACGGCGAGCTCTTCCCAGAGGCAGGCCTTTCTCACCATCGACTTAACTCCTGGAAGCTTTCAGATTCCCCTCCAGCCATGCTGAGGAGAGCTGCCAAGACTGCCTGAGAACCTCATCCAGCCAGATTCTGACTCGGGCCTTTGAGAAGTGCAGTGTTCTGCAGGCCAACCCTCGACGCTCCTGCCTGCTGCTGGTCCCACTCCATTTTCCAGTGGGGCACGGTCAATCCTGGCCCGGGCCGAGGCCAGAAGGGCAGCGCCAGGGCCCCGGGGATCTAGGGTTCTGAGGTTAGGGTGAGGCGAGGCCTGGGCTCCACATTTTGCCTTTGTTCAGCTGGGCTATTTTTAAAAGCCTGTGGTTCCAGCAGGAAGCCATCATTAAAGTTTTCCTAGGCAAAGTTGCTTTTGCAGGGAAAAATTACAGCCCTTCTCTTAGAAAGATCAGAGGGGCCCTGCCCTGCTGCATGGCAGCGAACAGGACCTCATCAGGACGTGTGGGCTCAGGCTCCGGAGCCGTCAGGCCCGAACAGCAGCCTCTGCAGTTGCTGGTGTGCTGAGGACAGAGCACCAAGGGCCACACAGGGGCCCTGCTCTCCCTTGACCCTCTCAGGGAGGGCAGAACCAGCATCTCTGTCTTACCCAGGAAAGCTGAGCTGCTCCTGCAAAAGGCCCTGTGCTTGGTGGCCCTCAGGCTGCCATGAACACAGATGTCTGGGAGTTTATGGTCCCAGGAAGAGGTCTGGCTGGCTCAGAGGTGTGTCCTGCCCTGTCACGGTGCAGGTTCTAGATGATGAGCACTCAGAGGGCAACTCTTCCAATCGGTCTGGGTGGGGGCTGACTTTTCTGTCAGGGTTGGCTTCGGTGGCGGAGGCGTGGCTTACCTCCATGTAGACACGTGCCACGTAGGTCTCAGGTTCCCAGCTCCCAGGTTTCCCCAGATGGAGCAGCAGAGCTGGCCCCTCTAGTGGACCAGGCCACAACCCCACCTGGGAGCGGGGGCGGGGGGTGGGGAGCCAGTAGGGAGGATGCCCGGACAGACTGAAATGGTCTTGGGGTGGGGGCCGAGTCATTCGGGGTGCTTCGGATCTCTAGAAGAGACCCTTAGGAATCAAAGTGGAGGAGAGGGGCGCTGTAGGCTCTGGGGGGCACCTCAGAGTTTCTGGGAAGCACTGAGGGGCCGTGGTCACTCTGACGTGCCATCAAAGGAGTTGGTGGCAACTCCGCCCTAGGGAGGGCTGACCAGGCCGCCCACTGGGTGGGTGGGTGGCTGGCTGGGGGAGGTGGACAGGCCTGTTTTGGTTTTGGAGGCGGGGGCTGGAGAGCCCTGCAGTTTCCAAACCACAGACGCCTCCTCTTTCAAATGCTTTCCCCTCCGTCAGCAGTCTCCCTGGCTCCCCTCCCGGCCCCCACAACCTACCCAACCCCACTGCAAGAGGCCTTTTGCTTCCAAAGGCCTGGTTGGTGGAGGGACTGGGGAGTGGAGGCCCTGAGGAAGCACAGCTTCTCTCCTGTCTAGTTGTATATGACCCACCGCCTGTTTCCCCCCATCAGCTCCGCCGTTAGCAGCGGACTTTCTCCCAGCCAACTTTCTGCAAGTTTGTCTTGGCTGCCTGATTTAACTTAGCCCTGATTTAACTTAGGGCTAAGACTGGGAAATAATGCTGTTTAGGTCTCTTATTGGAAGGATGGGGGGGGGGGAGAGGGGGAGAGAGAGAGAGAGAGAGAGTGTGAGAGAGACAGAGAGAGAGAGACGGACGGAGAGAAGTTGTGGGCTTGTGTTCACTTACGTATTTGCACATGCATGGCTGTCTATAGAACTACGCATTTCGCTGGGCATGTGCGTCCATGTGTAGCACTGTGTGTAACTGTGAATGCACTGTGTGTGTACATATGGTGGGGGGGTTATGTATGAGGCTGTACATGAAGCCGTACGTGTACTCGGCCGCCGCTGCAGAGGGGTACATACGTCATGGCCGTGAGCAGCCGGCTGATGCATTTGTGAGTGTAAATGTGTGTGTGGAACGGGCTACATGTGCTTGCACAAGTGGAACTGTGTGTGTGTGCGCGTGTGAGCGGCGTGTGTGGGCTGGAGGGGCTGTTGGGGCCATGCACGGGTAGGCACGTTCGTCACTTTTGAGTGGCCGTGAGCCTGTGGAGACAGAGTTGTGTGTGGGGCTTGTTGTACGATGGAGTCTGGAGCAGATGCTGGAGGGGATGGGGGGGAGGCCAGACCTTTGTCTCTGCTGTTTTTCCAGGCCAGCATCCCACTCTCCTCTGCTGCCAAGGCTCAGGGCTGCGTCCCAGCCCAGCCCCCCAGCAACGCTGCCCCACTGCCCCTAGGTCCAGGGTGCCTCCGCTTTACGTTCAAGCTTGTTCTTGCTGCTTCCATGACTTGGCCTCCTGACCTGCTCCACCCTCAGGATAAGCTGGGCTCCCACCGCCTGGGCTCTGAGCATGATGCCGAGCCAGCCACAGGCGGTGGCCACCTCGGTGTCCAGGCTTGCTGGCCTGGGGCTTAGGGCAGATACCAAAACATGGTCTCAGGGTTGTTGAGGAACAAGCTTTGGGGGTGGGGTGAGAGTCACAGGGCATCCCTGCTGCGCTAGAACACGCCCCTCCAGCTGTGCTCTCTGCGAGACAGAAGAAACGGGTCCCCGCTGGCTTGCGGGCTCCAGAGATGTTTAGGGGTTCAGAGGCTCGCCCCTAATCTCCCTACTTGCCAAGCTCCTAGATGTTGGAAAGGCCCTAAACCTACAAACATCCTGATTCCTGATCAGCCTGGGTGGCAGGCCAGGGGCCTCCCTGTAATCTTGATCGGGCCCCTCACAAAGTGCCAATGCCTAGTGCTGAAGATGCTCGAGGCTCCTGGCTGAACCCGCCCCCGCCTTCAGAGCTGGCTGGGGCTGTGCCCCGGGACCAAGCCGGGACTGGCTTTTGCTCCCTTTCTAGTTTCCCTGGAACTAGCTGGCTGAAGGAGGGGGGCTGTGGGCCGGTCCTGCTTCCCACTCCGTGCCTAAGGAATGGCTAGACCGGCTTCGGCTGAGGGAGCACCTTCTGAGAGGAAGCGGGCAATGAAGGGTGGACGAAGTGTGGGACAGCGCTGCCCAGACGAACGCACCCCCACTTCTCTTCATCTGAAGCTTCCAGGGCAAATGTGGCCTTAGTCCAGCTGCCCCCACAATCACGTCGTGGGTCCCATGACCCCCACCCGCCAGATGCTGGCAGAAGCCAGAGACACCCCCAGTTCCCAGGCCGCCCCCTGTGCCCTCCTCCCCGACGGCCCCCAGCCGCAGAATGTGAAAGAAAGTCTGGCGGCCGAATCCGGGTCAGGAGGCCGCAGGGAAGAGAGGAGCAGAGCTCAGAGAGGAGGCAGGGCGTAAGTGCACGAGCAAGAGGAAGAGAGGCGGCAGCTGCGCGTCAAGAGAAGCCAGCTCCCACAGTCACCTCGGCTGTGCTGCCTGTTGACCATCCCGCCCAGGGTCCACCGGCGATCCAGACGCCGCAGATGGGCCTTGCGTCTCTTGGATACTGGTGTGGGAGATGGCAATGGAACACGCGGCCGACGGAACCGGTGGAGAGAATGGAGATGGGGATGAGATGGGGCAGGGGAGTGATGGCGGGAGGGCAGGTTCATACTCCCCGGTCCTCATCACAGGGATGAAGCCCCAGCGGCTCACACCTGCCGGACGGGGGCAGATCTGCCCGGTGACACCACCAGCACCGGGGGAAAGGCCATGGTTTATATCCGTGAGCCTGGGAGGGGCTGAGAACTTCGAATCCTAGCACCTGAGAGGTGAAAAGGGTCCTTGGCCCCAGCCTGGCACAGGGACGGCCCTCCAGGCAGTCGCGGGGCCCAGCATAGGGCCTGGCACATGGCCGGTAGCTCGGAAATGTGGAGTGAAATGCACACAGGGATGGATGCCATGGGCCTTGATTCTGCTCCTTCACTGCACACTGCCTGCTGGATTTGCAACCACAGGGGGCCCGCCCCCCAGCTTCTCAGTGCTGCAGGCCCCTCTGTCTAGCCCGCCGTCTCTGCGGTGGCATCCTGTGCTGCTCCTCTGGTTGCTGTAGCCCAGCTCCACCAGCCCTCTGCCTTCCTCCGGGCTGCCCCAGTGGAACGGACCCCAGACCCGGGGCAGCACCCCCGAGGCCCCCACCTCCCAGCACTGCAGAAGCTGGGTGGCAGGTTGCCCGAGTATAGGGGAGGGAGGCCAGCAGTCAAAGGAAAACTGTCCAGACACACCTGAGCCAAGTCCCCTGGGAAGCGTTTGCTTTCCTTGAGGGAGGAGGAGTGTCTTGTTTGACCTGCTTCTTGTAAGCAGGAGGCCTGGACAAAAGGTTGGCAGCATGGATTCAGGTGACGCCTCACTGCCAGGTTACTGTGTCACCCAGGGCAGGCTTCTGTCCTTCTCTAAGCCTGTTCCCCTCATCTGTCATGGGGGTTGACACCACCTGCCCAGGCATGGGAGGGGATAAGGGGCTCAACAGGCTCTGTAGAAAATAAACGAGGTCCTGTCTGAGGCCAGACTGGGAAGGACTCTGACAGCTGACCTCCCGGGCGGGTGTGTTCTGTGGTTTCCCTGTGGGCAGAGGAGTTCGGCTGATGCCCAGGCCAGGGGCCCCCTTAGCCGTAAGTGGTATCTCTCTAGTTTCAACCAGGTACGAGGACTGTCTTGCTGAAGCCTCACAAAAGCCCTGAGCTGTCGGCACCATCTCCACATTAGAAACGGGAAGCCAGAGACGCAGGGGTGTTAAGAAACCCTCTGAGTAACACACCTAAGTGTTGGGGGAGCACACAGATCTAGATGGTCTGGCTCTGGAGCCCAGACTCTCGGCCTGATGATGTTCTTCCCCCCTTGACTCTGAGCCCCTTAGCCCACCAGCAAGGGAAAAGGCCCCAACAAGGGGCTGGTGCCGATGCAAAGCCCACCAGGGAGGAAGTTTCCAGGGCATGGGGGCACCGGCAGAGACCCAGGTTCTGGCTCTGCCTCTGCCACAAACTGACCCGGGGGCTCTGGGGAGGTGACACCTCTCTGGACCTCTCAGAGGCAATGGATCAGGTGCTTCACAAAAGCATCTTGCCAGTGCTGGGTGTGGCACCCATCATCATCAGTGGGTAAGAGGGTCTTCAACCTCCACCCCAGTCCTCCTACCTCCTACTGCTAACCTCTCAGAGGAATACGAGCAGATACCAGAATGTCTGATAACAGAAATAAACCAAAACAGCCAACTGTCTCTTCTTTCCAAAGCAAGGAAACACGAGTCCTTCGGGGAGATTTGATGGGATGGCAAAAGGCCTGGAGGAGAGATGGCCAGACAGGGGACCGGGGTGGGCTAATCTCTTAGCCACATGGAGGTGGGTACAGAGAGACTGGTGGACACACCACAGAGATGCTGGGGCCTTGGGCTGGAAGACTGAGCCCCGAGCCCTCCTGTCCAGCAGGGTGGAGATGCCCAAGATAGGATGATGAAATTCCCAGCTGCCCAAACACTGCTGGAGTCGGGGGGGGGCGGCGGGGGACTGGCACACAGGTCCTATCAAAAGCATGCCTAGGGATCTATCTGAAAGAGGGTCACCCCGAGTGCACAGGCACACACACAAAACCTGCACTGGCCGCCTGATTCTTCCTCCATCAAGGTCCAAGTCCTCTACAACCTGCTACTGCTTGTTCTCTGCAAAGCTCTCTCTTCAAGCCAGACAGGCTTCTGCGCACAGACCTCTCCGGCCTACTCCGTGTCCTCTGTCTCCCGACGTCTCTGCTCTTGACAATCATAGCACAGCCTTTTCAGGCGGGGCTCCAATCACACACACACCACACACACACACACACACACACACCCCTCAGAGTTGCTTACAAGCAGAATGCTTCATGGACAGGCATAGGGCGCAGTGGTGAAGAGCACTGGGCCAAGGAAGCTGACCGAGGCTCAAGCCTTACGAGGACAGGCATGTAGCTAACGGTCTGGAAGCCTCAGTTCCTGCATCTGGAAAAAGGGGATGAGAACAGGGCCTCCTAGGCTGGTGGGGAAGGCCTTTAAAGTACCAGGCCACACACTTGGGAGTGAATAAGACCTCACCCTACATCCTAGGGATTGTTATTCCTGAGAGACCCAGGGGTGACCCCAGCGTGTGAAAGTGGGCAGGAGGAGCTCAGGGGCTAAAATTCTCCACCGCTGCAGAGACCCAGAGATGAGATTGGGTGCAGGCCCAGCCCCAGGGCTCTGGAGCAGCCAGGATGGACCGAGCCCCCAGCCTGAACACGCAAACCCTTTCCGATGGACCCTGATCCCTGGAGACCTGTCAGGCAGCAGGGTGGGGCTCCAACCGCCCGCAGTAACTGACGTTCAGGGGAAGGCGGAAGAGGGAGCTGGTGCTTTGCTTGGCAGGCTGCTTATTTTGGCCTGGGCAGCATGGAAGGGAGGGGGTGTGTTGGGGGTGGGGGATGCAGGCCTGGAGGTGGCCTGAGCCCTGGGTGACAGGCCTCCATTGCCCTGGCTCTCAGATGTGCCTGTTTGGACCATCCCTACTGACCGTTAGGGCAAGCGTTCCTGCCAGGACATGGGGGGGGTTGGCAGTTACTAGGAGCAGGCAGCCAGGAACTGGAGGTGGCTCAGACTCCCTGGGCTCAGGAAGCCTGCTCTGGCGAATACCGGAGTCCACAGACAGACTGACCAGGCCAGCGCTGGCCTGGCGGGGGTGGGGTGGGGGGTGGGGGGGGAGGACAGGCACTTTGAAACGCAAGGAGAAAACGCCAGAAAAACCCCACCAGGCCAGAGCTAATCAGAGGGGCTAGTGGTGCAGGGGCCACTCTGTGGTTCCTGCTACACCAAGAAATGACTCAGACTTGCTGTGTCTGCACTCCTGGCCAGGATAATGGACGCCCAGAGCAGAAACTGTGTGCAAACAGCCTCGTGGGGTCATCCCTGTGGCACAGAGCACCACGTGGGGTCGGGGAGGCAAAGGTGGGGGTCTCTATGGGGTCCACCAGAGGAACCGAGGGCTTCTGCAGGGAAAGGGAGCTTTGGGGTCTAGTCCTAAGACTGTTCTCTCCGGTCTCTGCCCCAAAGTTGCCAAAGCCTGAGATCCACACTCCAGGGAAATTTCCCCTCTAATGTGAATCCCATGCAGGGCCAGCAGGGACAGACCTGGGACATGGCCCAGCTCCTCTGAGGGGTTCTGATGATTTTAGGGACGAGTGGGAAAGCTACCTCCAGAGGAAGTGGGTTCACTCCAAGGGCCAAAAGTGGGGTGGGCACCAATCCCGGGGGATCTCGAGGCAGCCTGCTCCCCACATGTGCCTCATTTATTCCCCTCCCCTTGAACCTGCAGGCCCTCACCTTCCCCAGTCTTGGAGGTGTTGATGTCTGAGTCATCCCGAGTACCATTCTGGGCCTCCAGGTAGGTGGCAGGGACCCAGCCCTGCTCCTCAGAGGTGCTCACAAACCACCAGCCTGCAGAGGAGACAAGAGAGAACACGGTCATGAGCGCCCAGCGGGATGGGGGTGGGGTGGGGTGGGTGGGGGAGGGGACAGGGCACAGAGCCAGACAGCCTGGGCACCCAGCAAACGCCTGGCTCACGTCCAGCCTCAAGAAGCCTGAGCCACACTAAGAAGCAGCCAAGGCACTCCTCGAGAGGAGAGTGATCCACACTTACACTCGATGTTCGATGGAAAAACTTAACAATGAAAATGAAATAGGGATATGTCCAATGTGTGAAAATCACCCTGCAGGAAAGGCCAAGGAAGCTCCCGCTAAACACAGAGACCATTCAAGGTCTCTGAAACCCAGAAGGACTCCTGGTGTGGCTGCGAGTCTGGCGTTCTCTGCTTTCAGAGGGATCCAGAGATACATGCATCACGGTGACCTGCGGGTGGTCGCCGTGCCCCTTTCCCCATCATGGGTCAGTGGCATTTACACGTCGGTGCTACTCACGGCCACCCTTAACTGTGTTGACACGTCAGTCACACTAAGTGGGCACTGCACCCCTGAATGACCCTTGATGGTTGCGGCCAAAGCTCGCTCCTTTTCTTTCTCGTTTGTTGGTTCGTTCATTTATCATTTAAACAAATGCTGACTGAGCAAAACACACTGAGCACCCAGGTCCCAGGACTCCACTCACTGCCTTCAGTCTCTTCCCAGAAGATACTCTTCACAGGATCTTGTCTTTTGCCCCCAACCCATTCCGATCCTGCTCTACCCCAAAAGCGATCTGGCACCGACTCTCTTTTTTGTCCATGACCAAGCTGTTTCCAAATATGGACAGTGCCCTGGCAAGAGATCCTGGGCTTCTCCTGGGGCAGCACGTGACCCCATCGCTGCCCACGGCAGGGAGTGGCTGCCCGGGAAGGGGGACCACTGGGAGCCTCCCGGCTGCTCCTCACTGGGAGGTAGAGGCAGCTGCCTGAGGGACAGAGGAAAACAGTGCCACCCCTGCACAGGCCCTCGGCACCCTGAGCCACCTCCTAGGTCTTCCGCTAGGTCCCTGCTGCCCCATGGGAAAGGCCTGGGAGAGTGAACAGTCTGTGATCCAGTCTCGAATGCCCACCGCAACCCCGCCCTCCTGGGAGCTCCACCACAACACTCTGCTTGCAGCTCTGCAAAGCCCACGAGACGCGGTAACGTCTGTACGATACCGTGATGACGGATGTGTCATAACACGCTTGTCCACACAGTACCGAGAGTGAACCCTAATGTAAACTACGGATCTGAGTGACTGGGACGTGTCAGCACAGGTTCATCCATAACAAGTGAACCACTCTGAAGGGGGGGGGGTCCCTGCATGCATGGGGGCAGGAAACATACAGGAAACCTCTGTTATGCAGCTCAGTTTTACTCTAGACCTAAAACTGCTCTAAAAAAATCCCAGTTTTAACCAACAAACAGGAAAAGCCTTGGACGAGCGGTCTGGAAGCTCAAGGCCCAGGCCTCTTTGGCTCAGGGGCCTTTGTTGGGTCACTGTCCCCTCTGGAACCCAGGGTGGAGGCCTTCCCCCCTTCCATTCTCTCCTCTGCCAGAGTCGGTCTTTCCCCAGAGTGGGATGGGTGGGGGGGGGGCACGTGCATATCCTGGGCCACCGAGGGGGCTCCCGGGGGCAGCACTGCTATTCTCCTAGGAGCCCAGGCCAGAGCCGTGTGGCTGCTTCCAAGGCGGTGGCCAATGGAGGCCCCAAAGAAACCGGAAGGCATGAACTCGCAGGGGTCTTTTCCCCTTCTCTTGGCTTCTGGGGGAGCACTCTTTGGAATTCCAGCCGTTTCCGCCAAGAAGCACCAGCCCCGGGGGCTCTTCCACAGAGCCTGACCAGAGGCCATGGAATAGGGTTCCCATCTCATAGAGCTTTTCTACCACGAAGGTAGCTCTGCCCCTTTGACCGCAGGAGTGGGCGTGCCCGGTCATCTTCTGACGGATCTGTCCTCTCCCTGCACACTGTAATGGTTCTGGGGCTTTCTCAAGAACCGACACGGGTGCTCTAGCGGTCTGAAGGCTAAGTCCCCTGTAAACCAGGAAATGCAGGGCTATGTGGGAAGAGATGGCCTGAGAGTGAAGCAGCATCACAGTGCAGAGATGGAGAAAGTCAGTCCTGATTAATATCTTTCGAGCTTCAGGTTCTAAGTGGGCTGAAGCTGGACCACCCTGTTGGACTCCCTAATTACAGTGAGCCAGTGACGTTCCGTGTTATTTAAGCCAGAGCAGGTTTCAGTCACAGGAATGGAGTGTCCTCACTAACGCCATCTCTACCCAGCAACCACGAAGGTTCATGACTGAAGGTCCGCCATGGTGAGTCAAATCTGGAGATGAAATGCCAAGTCCACGGGGCACCTGCCACCACAGACCTCAGCCGGTAGGACAGAGCCCTCTGAGCCACTCTCGGTAACCAGCACCTCCCCAAATTCCCACTCACCAGGATAACCTCCAAGAGCCCACAAAGAACAGTCACCATAATTCCCAACTTGGAGTCACTTTCGGGAGGGTCTTAAAGACTGAGGCTCTCCCATGCTCCCCAGGTCCAGGCCCCCGACGCCAAAAGCACACGGGTTTTGGTCCCCATACCTCCAGGCCCTCACCGACCTGACCACCCCCAGTTCTGCCCCCCAAAGCCAAGCCAAATCCCAGTGGGCTACAGACACACCCTGAAGGCCTGCCCTCAAAGGGGAGCTCTGCTTCCCAGGAGAGGGCTTCCCCGGGATGGGCCTGGGCTGGAGCCAGGGATCTTACGGTCATTGGAAAAAACGGGGATGTGCCTGAGAAACAGTGGAACTTGGAAGCATGTGTCTTGGTGAGAATTTGCCAAGATCCCTCCATTCGCCGCCCCTCCCAGCCTCTTCTATACCAAGGTGTGCCACTGCCAACTCCACCCTCTGAAACAATCCCTTTCTGTCTCCACTGGGAGAATATGCCCTTCTTTCTTTGTGTGAGCCAGGGCTTCCCAGGAAAGCAGGCAACTTGGTGGTCTCCAGGATGGCCGCAGTCAAAGCCTTCTGTTTCTGAAATTTGGGCTCCAAAGTCATCCTTAATCAAGGCAAAGGAGGCAAGCCCCTCTGTGGGCACCAGGAGGGCTGGGGTCGGGGGAGGAGGGGGTGGGAGGGAGAGATTTTCTCCATCAGTCCCAACTGAGCTTGCCTTTGTCCTCATCTGGTGTGAAGTGAGTCCATCAGCCTACTGACCTGTTTTCTCCCCCTCCCCCCAGGGCCATATTGGGGACCAGCCCCTGTATGGCCCTTTCCCCTTGTATCCAAGGGCCTCATAATCCCTCTTCTGCTGGCACTGTCTCCCCTATCTCCTAATTTCATCCTCCGAGAATCCTTCCTCATACATCCTGCTCCCTCCTTTCCCCCAGAGTCCTTAACAGTTTTGCTGAGAACAGTGGCCTGGGCTTCCACTCCAGCCCTGAAATGTGCAGAGCTAGGCTGAATGGCTCCGAGGCTCGGGTCTCTCCTGCCTCAGGCCCTGCAGAGAGTTGCCTGTTGCTGGCCTGGCTGCGGGCACCTCCACCGAGCAAAGAAGGACAGGCTCAAACACCGCCCAGGTGGGCATGGGTGAATGTGGGCAGAGGGGCCCACCCCAGCTCCATGCAGACCTCCCAGGAGCCCTGGCACGGGTCACACGGTCGGGCCTCCTGGGGGAGGCTCCCTGGGCCCATGCCCACCCACAGCTGCTGACAAGCCTCTCCCAGAGGCCAGCAGCTCAGACGTCAGTTGCTGTAACCGGGGCTCCCAACCAAAGTCCCTGCTACTCCCCCAAGGATCAATTAGAGCCTGAACCCCTGGGGGTGGCCCAGCTGGCCAAGAGGGCTCAGGCATCAGCCAGCCCTATGGGACTCCCAGGCTCACCTCCAGTGCCCATGGCATCCTCTTTTCCACCGAGGCGGACAGTGTGTGGGCTGCACGTGGGGGTAGGTATGGACAAGGCTGTGTATCTTTTGAGTACACGGGAGGTGCGTTATGCCCATGTGCATATCCACGTGGGTGTGTTCATTTGCTCTTGTGATGATGATTATGGTCAGGTGCTAACTTTACATACGTTATTTAACCTTCAAGAATCTTGCGCAGTGTTACTGTCATCATCATCCCCACTTTACAGATGAGGACATTGAGGCAAAGATGATGATTAGGAAGAGGCAGAACTGGAACCCAACGAACCCAGGCAGTCGGGTTCCAGGAACCACATTTTTAACCACCACGGAAGTGGATAAGGAATTTATCTGCCTTGTGCGCACAAGGGTAGAGGTGACTCCTTCAGCACGTGTGCCCCTGGGCGCTGGTATGTGATACATGTCGCTGCATATGTGATTTGTGTGTGTACAGGATGAGCAGAGACATGGGGCTGTGTGTACTTGAGTGTGTAGAGGGGAGGGTCCTTTGGAAGTAGAGGGTAATAACTAGGGATCTAGGGTCAGAAAGACATAAATTCAGGTCCTGGCTTGCTACTTCTTGTGTGATCTTGGGCAAATCAGTATATCTCTCCGAGCCTCAGTCTCCCCTCCCTGATATGGGGATAATTAATGGCGCTTAGCTCCTAAGGTTGTTGAAGTGGATGAGATAGAAGTAGCTTAGCTTGGGGCCTAGCACAGAGCTGGAGGTCAAAAACCTTGAGCTGTTACCAACATGGTGGTGGCTGTTCAGTATTCTCCTAAACTAACTGTTAGCACCCAGGGGTAGCCAGGTGGCGTCTTTGCCTGCAGAGTAGATCAGGAGACACTCAATACAGCTTGGTGAATGGACTTGGATGTATGTGTGTGTGCCCATGTAGTTAATCTGTGGAGTCTGGGGGCTGCCTTCAGGGGTTCCAGAAGAATGGGAGGAGTGACCTCTTATTCTTTCCTTAGCTGATGCAATTCGTGATAGCAAGCATGATGGGAAATGGGGCCAGAGGGGAGAGGTCTCTAGGGTTTCCCTCCTTGCTCCACACATGTCAGGGTTATCCTCAGCCTGGCTCCTGTCCTTCAGCTCACACA